TGGACCCCACAGACGTTGTCCTGCATGATATTTAAAGCGATTAGGATATTAAGCAAAGTATGAAAGTACCGACTGCAGTGCCATCTGCCGGGCTGATTTGTGAATCTAAACCATTCCCAGATCCCCTTGAACACACACAAAAAATATCATCAAAATCGGTCCAGTCGTTTGAGAGGAGTTCAGTCACATACACACGCACAGAAGAAATATATATATTAAGATTTACATATCTCGATGTTTCGAGTGCTTTTCAGAAATTGTAGTCAATAGACTAAATATAAGAGAAACTTTTGTAGATAGTTTTGTAATACCAGATTAAGGTAATAATAAGTATATTGTTAGGTTAACACGCGTTTATTTTCATTTAGTAATGTTCTTTCAATTGTTTTGATATTAAATTTAACAATGGTAGTATTAAAATATTCGTAGATGTTTATGAAAGCCAAAGCGTAAATTCGTATTGTTCGTAAATGTGATTTTTGAACTATTGTTATGTCTTCGTGTTCCTTATTTTATTTATTTTATCTTACAATCACTCTGTTTTTATTATTAAATTTGGAGTATATGGTAACTTTAACAAAAATAAAAAACTATTACGAATAGTTATATCGAAGATTTTTTTAATGTTGCATCCACTAATAGAGGAATATTTTTCAAAGGCTTTAATCGGTTCCAACACGAAATATTTGTGTTTTGTCGTGAATTGAACTTTGTGTTTACCACTATACCGCGGAGTTGGTTAAGAATCTTTATTTTAATTACCAGCTGTATCTATTAATCAGTTATATTACTTACGAATGTGTTTGTATCATTATAAATGTGACATACTATTATGTGTTTGACAGTATGATCTTGATAACTAGAACTTCGTTAAGTCGTAATCCTCAGTAAGTCGAAAAAAAATCCATTCCCTTCCGGTGAACCCCTAAATACGCGGTAATTAGAATTATTTATATTTAGACTTTGCAACTCGAACAAAATGTTATTTCCCTACGAAGTATTGATAATACATATTTATAGTCTATAACTCGAATTTCAAAAAAAAGGCTGTGAGTCGTAGTTAGTAAAATATAGGTACGTCTTACTTGGATTTCCCCGAAATAATAGAAATAAAATCGAAAAAATACACATTGAAATCGCGTAAGTCGAAATTTCAGCAGTTAAATCCTAATATATCTCGAAGTTCTTGTTAAGTCGAAAACACGTTAACTCAATCATTTTATTTGTATTAGCCTAATGGCTTCAGCGCGTGACTCTCATCCCTGAGGTCGTAGATTTAATCCCCGGCTACACCAATGAACTTTATCTATGTGCCGTTTTAACACTCGCTCGTACGGTGAGGGAAACCACGCGAGGAAAGAAAAACTCGACAGCGCCTGTCAGGCACGGAAGGCTGATCAGCTACTTGCCTATTAGAAAAAACTAATGATCACGAAACAGATACAGAAATAGCGCCACTGGTTATTTTATTACAATTACATATTATTTTGATTTATTATTTAATTTGAGATCTTATTACTCAAGTTATTATAATTTTTTTCTTATTGTTTTCATTCAAGATAATTTGGGGTTTTATTCGAAAATTAGATAACTATACACATTGCATTGTATTCATTCGGTATTGGAGCGTTGTTGATTTCAGTTTTACTTTAAAAAGCAAACAAAATTGATAATTTATAATACAATATAAACTTTTTGTATAACATAAATAAAGCTAGAAATAGTACGATGAAAATCACACCTATAAAGCCATGTATAGAATAGAACATGGGATAAAAAAGAAAAATTATTTGCAGGAGTATTTATCATGTACAATTAGAATTAAACTCCATGCATTCGAATTTTTTAGCTAGCAATTTGGCATTTATCATTGAAAGGTCAAAATTACTTGCAATTTCGTATTTTTATAAAGAAAATACCTAATAAAAATTATAAGAACTTACCACTTACGATTCTTTATAAAACAAATATGTATTTGCCGGACGTTGCTTATTGCAAAAATAAATAACGAAAAAAGATTGTTAAAATTTACTTCTATAACCAAGAAAAGTGTTTGTTACCGTTTTATACATAAAGGCCTGAATTTGGTGTAATATGATAGGTGCCTTGTTAGAGATGAACTTTTAATATACGTTTTAACCCAATGAGCAAAACGTAGCCGTTTAAAAAAACGTCAAAGCCTCCTCCTTTTGAAATTTAAATCGGTCAATATCAGTTAATTCACAAGTGAGGCCGAATTAAAAAAAAACCTACAAAACTAACCTCTTTAGAAACGAAATACCTACTACGAAAAAATTTGCTTACGAATAGTTATAACAAACTCAACAAAAAGTTGTGGTAGTAGGTAATTAACTATATATTATAGTAAGCGGGAATCCGCCTCGCTATGTATTCAATAAAAAAGATAACAAAGTAATTTGCGGGTTTTTCTTATTTTTTTACTTAGTGACTTTATACGTCTTACAAATAAAGTTTGAACAAAGTATGCAAAACAAATTAAAGGCTCTCATGATATAAACTTACTACATTTAAAATATGAAGGTACCCGAAAAAACTACCTAAGAAAACGTGGAAATCTAAACGACTAAAGCGTATTTTATTATATTAAAATGTCGTATAACGTATACGTATAGGTATATTCCTATCATATATTATATGAATAACATTAAAATGCACGTTAGCGTCGCGTTAAAAATAAATTATAATGCATGTCTAAAAAAAATCTTAAAAACGGTTTAATTAATTTCTTACCTTATATTTCATCTTCCTCAATATAAAATCACACTTAAGCTTAAGTATAACAATGAAATCAGATGTATTCACGGAATTTTGTTTTAATTTCTTTCATAAACTTTTTTATCGTAACTCCGGAGTTTTGGCGGCAACGTCAACAGCCGCGCATGCGTACTCTGTAGCGAAGCGACAATGGCTGCGTTTCAGCGGTCGCGGTGGTTTTGCTTCCCCGCCATGAAGTGCAACGACCCATGATCGACACCCTGACTTCCTTCAGCCGGAAAATTGTAGACAATTTTAATTTTAATTTTTTTCAAATCTAAGGCACTAAAACTTTTCAACATATATTTACTAGGTTACATATTATTATTGATTTATTATTAAGTAGGTACTAAATAATATTGTTGACAGTTGATTTGCGAGTAAGTTCATGCAACTATAAAATGTGACGGGTTTTAATTTAATAACCGTAATTTACACCTTTAAAAGGGTAAATTTTGGATCTTTATTGGATCATAAAATGCCCAACTTTCTGAAATCTGTGGTATAGGCATCTGTGTTTATATGAAACTAATTTTTAATATTTTATAGCTAACACTTTTTTAATAGGTAATAATTTCGTATTACGATGAGTACTCTTACTGAGTAGTTTTGAGGTCCTAAACTGGTCCAAATAACTGTATAGTAGTAAAGTCGAAAGAAAAAGGCATTCTTATAAAGATGATTCATACTGAATGGAACTGAGCTGAGAATAAAATAATAGATACTTAACTAGTCAATGAATCATAAAATGATTTTTGTCTACATCTTATTATTATAATATAAACAAATTATATTTATAATATATATATATATATATATATATTATTCTAGAGGAAAAATAAATGTTTTTAAGTTAAGATTAAAATAACATTCTTTTTTATTAGTACGGAATTTAAAAAAAAAAAAAAATTGTGCGTGTACTAGGTGTACACACGTAAGAAGTGAAACTTCTTTATGATCTTATTTTTCGAAAAATGATCTACTATATTATGCAACTTTACAGAAATTCGTTAAATTAGATAAAGTTTAACAAAAGACTTTTATTATCATAGACATGAATACAAATATTTCATTTTACCTTATTACTATTTTAGAATTTCATAAAAATAAAAAAAAAAAAAATAGGGTTTAAAAAAAATTCCCCCCCCCCCCCAAAAAAAATTTTTTTTTTTCCCCCCCATAATTTTACTTTTTACCATTATTAAAAATAGTTTTTGATTGCATGCAAATACTAATAAATTAAATAATCAAAGACTGTAAAAGGAGTCATTATAGTCAATTAAGTTCAGTTTACGAATTTGAAAATTAAATATGTAATTATTTATTATTATTCTCTTACTGACATAAATTATATTTAGTTAAAATTATATATTATTATATATTTAGAATCTCTACCAAACACTACAGAAGTATGTTGTTGCTTTGGCAGTATTGCCCTTAAAATTAAAATTTCTTGAAAAAAAAACAAAACCCCCTTTTTTTTTTTTTTTTTAAAAAAAGTAGATACAAAGAAGTCATTCAAATTCCATACGAACTTCCGCATATTCTACTACTGTAGATAGTCTTTTGACCTGCTCTATAATCCACACTACGCAATTTTTTCATAGCGCGCATCGTAACCGAAAAATGTGACGCGTAACGAAAAAATGTTACACTAAATTTTTTTCCAACCTCGATAAAGAAGTTTCAAAATATAACTTTTTACTCGAGATATTTTGTATGCCATATATATGTATATATGCCATATGTATGAAAACCACAGTGTCGTTGGGTTATAGTGGGTAGGACGCAGTGGCTGAGTCCCACATAACCGGGGTTTGCTTTTATAACATCCTAATCATAAAAAAGTTTGCCCTACTTTTTTTTACTGAATTTCTTCATTAGCATCTTGATAGATTATATTCTTTTATATATAGATCGATTTTATATTTTAATAATTGGATAATTTATAAGATTTTTTGGGATTTCTCATGAAATAAAAACCTAAATTATATATGGCAGTTTCCCCGAAATACTTTTAGTCTCCCATTTGGGTTAGTTATCGAAAAAAGTTATCCATGTTAATTGTCAAAGTCTCACAAAATACAAATGTCAAAAATAAATTTCTCTTTCACAATAACGCGTTGTTGTTAGCGTTTCTTTATTATAAGATACCTAGTTTATAAAAGCATCTGTGAAGTCTATGTAAACAATTTAACCTGAAAAAAGTGTTATATGAAACGAGAATGTCCCGTGGTATGGGACGAAAAGATTTTTATACTCGCGATCGTAACTGGGAATCCTACCGGCGTTATGAAAAGCCTCGGCCGATGAAGCGTAGCCACAGTCCTCTTCGGGACAAAAGGAGTAGTTCCCCACATAGAACGAAAAAAGATATCGACGATAATCTTATGAATGATAAACCAAAGTCGCATGAAGTTTGGGATAACCATCGACAGGATTTTGCTATTCCTCCTCCTCCACCTAGTTTTTCAACTCAAGATGTAGGGATAAGCTTATTTAAAATTTATTACCTTTGCTTCACCATGGCGTTTTTTATCATTTAAACGACTATATCCAATTACAAGATAAAGTAACTGTTAAATTTCAGGGTCCTGCATACAACCAAAGCTATCAACCATCTTACTCAGGTATTTATGATGAGTTCTCATCTGGACCGCCACCTTCCAACAATGAAATGTCTTCTTGGAATCAGATGTCTCTTCCTCCTCCACCTGCTCCACAGGTTTACAATGTTGAAGATCAAATAAAAAAAGAAGGTACATTATAAACCTTATGTTTTCATAAACAGTGTTCAATAAGTTTGTGTTTACTTGTAGTAAGAAAAGTATCATTATTTCAAAGTAAGTTATAATTTATTTATAAGTGTTATACATGTGATGCTATATCAAATAATTCATAAGATCTCTATAAGGTCTTCTGTATTTGTATTGTGTGTTTATCAAAAGCAAAGTTGTTTCAGTTAATGTTAAGTTATATGATAAACAAATAATTATAATATAATAAACTAAGTAACACCACTAAAATAAGTTAACAAGTCAAGAATGCTGCAGAAAAATTATCATATATTGAATGAAATTATTGGTTTTGATAACAATAGTGAAAATTTGTTTATATGCTAATGTAATCTACATTTAACTTTTAAAGCAAAAAATTTTCAGGTTACAACAACCCAGTGTAATATTGTCATATCAATGTAAAAATAACGATTAACCTTGAAAATGGATGTGTTGCTAAATAAGAAGCTCTCTCTGCTACTATCTTTTTTCTGTGATAAGTTTGAAATGAAAGACTCAAATTACATAATATTTATAGCTATTTACTGAAAATATTTTTACAGCTGCAATTGAATCTGAAATGCGTCATCAAAAAGCAGCTCTGTCAAAGCAAAGGGAGGACTACATTAAAAAAGCTAGTATTCTTAAGAAAGAGTTAGATACATTGAAAGATCAACGCAGTGAACTTCGTGGTGACTCCAAGCGATCACCAAGCCCAGATACTAAAAGGTTTTTAAAGGAAAATACAAAGTTACAGGTTCGGTTTACTTTTGTTATGTGTATTAAATTAAATTTGTAGTTTTGCTTATTAAAATCTTTTCTGTTATTTACATATATAGAAAGAGTTTGCTTTTTGTATGTTTTTATAGTTGGAAATTCAGAATAAACTAAAAACCATCAATAATGTGGTTGACATGCTTAATGGGATCATTGGAGAAGAAGCAGCCAATATAAATGATTCAGACGGCTCTCCCGATCGCAGCTCAAAACGTAAATCCAGGTTTGTTGTAATTTAAAACTATTATATATTGAAATTATTACATTGATTGTTCAAAACAGTTAAAAAATTTAAACTTGATTAAAAGGTAAGTTGTGTTTCAGTTGTTTAACTTGTTTTTATAATAAGCTTATTTATTTTTAATACCATTTGCTTAACACAGAATTACAAGAGGTGGAAGATTACATAGAAGGAGAATATATTATGAAAGACATGAAATCAATTTCATTAATTCCTTATTTAATTTGGCTTTGGTTTGTTAATAGCTCACTGCAAATATTTTTAAGAAGAAAAAATGTAATGTGATGTGCATGTAAAAATAGTATATAATAAGTTTATTTAAGAAACGCGTCCAGTGTAGTAAAGAACATCAATTTGTCTAATAAATAGTTTTGATTAAAAAGCGTTAAAATGTTAGTTATCATAAATATTCTAATTAAAGAATACAAAAAAGTCCTTGTGTTTTATTTTACCTTTTATATATTTATGGGTTAAATATATAAAGACTAAATTCTTTATTCAATATTTTTTGTGAATGATTTTTTAACTAAAATTTTTTTTAGGTCGCCTTCAGCCGGCAACAAATGCAACTATGTGTACTATGACCCTGAAATGCACTGGTGTCGGGTTTGCAACGACTTTCCTCCAACCGCTAAAGATTACTTAAATCATTTGCATTCAGTTGCACATCATAAGTGAGTTTAAAGCATATTTTGCTTATTATTAATAAAAAAATATAAGATTTTCCAGCAAAATCTTTGATAATTTAAGCTAAGTTTGGTTAAACAAGAGCTGAGTTCACCTAGAGGCGACTCTCATTTCTGAGGTTCCATTCGAACACTGGGTGAGAACCAATGGATTTTTCTGTCTATGTGCTCATATAACACTTGCTCGTATGGTGAATGAAACCGTCATTTCTTAGACCCAAATAAAATTTAACTTTGTTCATTTTCGTCAAAAATTTACTTGCAAACAGTACTAGAGAGTATTTTTGACAGAAGTGCAGCAGCCCATATGGAAGCTCCGTGGCATTCATTGACTGGAATGCATGAAGGTTTCCCTAACTATGCTTCTGCTCCAACGAAAAGGACTCCTATTAAAGGTAAATTATTTGTATTATTTCATGTCCTGCTTTTTGAATGAATTTGTATGAGTTGTGACAATTTGAGGGATATTATCCCTTATCAGTAACTGTTTCTTAATAAATCTTTAGGGTGTGGTGTGTCTACTCTAATAATAACAATAAGCCTTTATTTATCCACATCTACTTTACACATATACAAAATAAATATTAATAAAATTATATATAAATATTTATATATAATTTTATTACTCTGAAGACCTCCTTCAAGTTTTTCTACCCTATTTAATGTTTTATATCCATTTTTTGCCAGCAGCCCTTTCAATGTCATTGGCCCAACTCTCTTTTGGTCTGCCTTTGTTTCGCTGTCCTTTTGGGTCAGTTCAATCGGTGAATCTTTTTGACTATCTTCCATCTATATAATGTGTCTACTGAGGAAGATTTAAATTTAAGTAAATTATAATTGCGTCATTGCCTGTGTTTGATTATAATAATTTGTTATGCTCAATAATTTAAGAGAAACTGTATCAATCTAGGGTTACCATTACAGTATAAATAAATATTTTTTATAAATAGTTTTAATTAAATATTTCTAGGATTACAATTCTTTGTACCATCAACGGCTTGGTACTGCAAATTGTGTGACCAGTTCATTGGTGATCTACACTGTGCTTCTGCTCATCTTAAATCTGTAGTACATGCTAAGAATTATACAGTAAGTAATCTTTATATTGAATGCTTGAAATGAATAACCAACTTATTGGTAAACATTTTCTTTAAATGCAATTCAGGGTATTAAGTGGTTAGCACACATATTCTGAAGTTAGATTTTTGCAAAAATCTTGTGTAACTATTGATTTTGATATAAACATTGTGATTGTTCACATTTTGCTTACAAGTTAGATTACATAAGTCAGAGATTAATTTTTTTTTAAACGATCCAATGATTCAGGAAAATGCGATATCAACGCAAATAGAAACTTAATCTATTTTAAACTAAGAATTTAGTAAAAGTCTGTGTTTCAGATTTCTGTGTCTTTTTTTCTTAATCATTTGTTTTTTCTAATAGGCAAATAGTCAGCCTTGTGTGCTTGACACATGATGTTTTTCTATACCGTACGAAAGAGTGTTTAGTTAAAGTGAAATAGCTTTAATTTACTATTTATATCTTATCACTGATAATTAAATTTCTAATAATTAAAGAAACCCGAATATTATTTAAGATCTTAAACTACGCTAAAAATATATTTTCAGAACTTCGTAGAACAGAATCCTCACTGGGAGACAGACTGGATGTCTGATCGTCAGAAGGCGTTTGAGAAATCTCGTGATACCAAGAAGAATAAAGAGGATAAGGGCCAATATACAGCACATACAATCACCTTCAGTAAAGATGGCTTTCATACAAAAAACAAAACTCCTGAAAGAGAGCTCGAAAAAAAGAGAAAAGACAAGAAGAAGAAAAAGAATAGGAAGAGAAGTAGTAGTAGCAGCAGTTCGCAGACAAGCTCTAGCGATTCTGACAGTGAGCCTGTTAAAAAGAAGAAAAGTAGTATGTTGTGGATTCTATATAATTTAACTTATATGTTTTGTTGTATGATATGTTGAGGGCTTGGGCTGATAGATAGGCAGGGAACAAGGCACAGTATTTTTTGTGTTGTGGTTGCAAAATATAACAAATATTTGACTATAATTCTTAAGTCAGAATCCCTGTGAAGTAATAGTTTTAAGTAGCTCAATACAAGATTACTGATTTACAAAAATATTTATGTATTTATTTTCTTTAATGCGAATTAATAACAATAGAAAGACCTCAATAACAAATTCATACATGTTTATTTGATAAATGCATTACCATTGTTGATGCTCTTTTCATCTCTAAAATAATTATTTCCTTTCAGACAGGAAAGAAAAAGAAAAAATGAAAGACAGCCGCGAGCCCCGCGCAAAGGAATGGATGTCACACAATGAAGAGCGTCATCACGATTCAGACAGGAAGATAATTGAGAACATTAAAAGGTATATAGGTCTTATTTACAAGGAAGCGAAACACACACTAACACACAATACAGATATACGAAGAACCGATTATATTAGTAGTTCTATTGTAAAGAACATTTCACAGATAATATTTTTTATATGAAAATTAATTATAATTATTTTTTCTTAACTGTATTTGTATTATTATCAACACTAATAATATAAGTAGCTTATTATTATTATTATTAACACTTATAATATAAGTAGTCTTTTAATATTTGTATTTAAATAGAAATAAATGCAAGAAATTTAGACATTGAAACGCACTAAAAAGTATAGAATTTGGTTATTATTTAAAAGATTTTAAATAATAGAAAAGTAATACTAAATATAAATCAGTTACATATAATTATAGAATTAAGATGGATCATATGGAAAGTCTAAGCCGTCGCGGGGACCGCAATGCGAGGGAAAGAGAGATATCTCCGCCAAGAGAAGGAGACAGAGATCGGTATATATACATAATTATTTAATAGACAATAACAGTACTATAAAATGTTACGAAGTTGAAAAATTACCTTAAGGCTAGATTTTTTAAAATGTAATTACATGGTGCAAGTCAATTAGGCCAAATCTATTACAAAATTATGTCATAATTATAGAAAATGTTCCTTTAATAATTTTATATTTTCGAAAACTAAATTTTGAGGGAAGTAAATGTTACAATATTATAAATATCTTTAGTAAGTTTATAATTAAAAACGATACAATACTATAAAAAAGTATATAATATATTTTAGTAAAATGGTTTACATGTAAAATATAACAATGTAGTCTAATGTCCATAGATTGAAATATGATTCTAGCCGTGAGATGCGTCGATCTGATTCGCGAGAGGAACGTCGTCTAATCGAGTCTCACCGTCGCGATGAACGACACGAGGATAGAAGAGATGAGAGACACGATGACAGAAGGGAAATCAAACGTGAGGAAAGAAGAGAAGGGAAACGTGATAGGAGAGATGACAGAAGAAACTCACCGCCACGAGAAGTTAAGAAACCAGAGATTAGAAAAATGCCCTTTATTGGTGTGTGGCTTTTTTAAATATTTTAAATACCTACTTCTATTCTTACAGATCTAAAAACAAGATACTTGAAAAGATGGTGCCTTGTCTTTTACATTCTACAATATTCTAAATACTTGTAATAATGACATAAATAGGTGAATTCTTCGCCCCACTGTAAACAGTAAATTAATTTTTTAAGTATTTTATAAACTTGAAGGTATTCTAAGCCATACTCGTTAGGATTTCTCTCTTATAATTATAGACGTATGCCTTTCGATCTTTAAAGGAAAAATGCCCGTTTACAAACATCTCGGAAAGCCAAAAACAGAGGAGATAAAAAAGGAAGATGAAAAGAAGATAGATGTTGAAGCTATACGCAAGAAACAACAGGAGATGGATATAGAGATTCAGAAAAAAGTGAGTCTTTTGTTATCACAACTAAAGCTAAATTGAATGAATATATTATTTCGCTGTTTTACAAAATTCGACATTTGCATTTCAGCAGTCAAAAGTTTTTGAAAACTTTTTATATGGAAATACATATTAATTTCATTTGACAACAATCGTAATAAAATATGAGGAACTAAATCACAATTTTTAATCTTAAGAAATTAAGGTAACAATAATGTTTTTTGGAATTTATAATAGCTATATTCCAAAGATATTTTCAGATATATAAATAAATAATTATCATCATAAATGTTCGTTTCCAGGTAGCAGAGTTTAAAGAGAAAATCGCAAAGTCCCAACTGGAAAGGTCCCAAGCAGAGGCTCAGCAACAGTTGATGTCAGGGCTCCTGAACCCGTACCTAATGGGAGCCCCTATTTCAGCGGCCCCAGTGGTGCCCCATGTCCCCCTGCCCCCGTAATAACAATGCCCACTCCAACACCACAGATTGTGCCAAGTAACCACCAGTAAGTAACATCTAAAATGTTATCAAAAACAGGTCAAGTGCCCGGGGAACTAAATGTTCCTTATCTGGCTACTTAATTGGGTGAAGGTTTTACATATTTGGCAAAAACATTGTCTTTAATAATTTCATTTTACTTTTCAACTTAGCTAAGCAATAATTATAGTACACTCAAAAATTTAGGTATGAAACAGAATAAACCTAGGTCATTTTATTTGAAGCATAGGGATGTGACATTCTGCATAAAAAATCGATTTTTTTATTAATCGATTATTTTTTTACCATGAAAAATCGATTAACAAATAATCGATTTTTTTTTAAAGAATAGATTTTTTTATTAATCGATTTTTTCCTAATTTTTGAATTAATTTCAAAATAATCACCCTAAATATTTTTTTTTCATGTTTTTAATTATAAATAAACAATAGAAATTATAAACACAAATTAACGTTTAAGAATAATCAAAATCGAAATTAACTTAATGTTGTTTTGATTGATTTTAGGTGAAATTTGATAAATGCTGATTGTATGCCTTTTCAGTAGCACATTGCAGTATTTTTGATGTATTTTTAATTGTATGTAATCTTGTGCTGCTGAATAAATTTATTTTACTTTTAAATTAAAGTGTTCCATTCAAACTTTGAGTTTTTGTAAAATTAACTGGTTTTATCATCCTTTCGATGTTTTACAAAAAAACATCAATGCATCGAGTATATCAATACATCTTCAAGGAATCGGATTCACTGTATCGCATTGTAAACATCGTTGTATATCGATTATCCCTAATAGTTCGAGGTCCGGGTTATAAAAGACCAGACATAATGTCGGGAGATGGCAGATAAAAAATCGACTATGATTGATTTTCAATTATAAAAATCGCGTAAAAAAATCGATTTTTACTTTTTAAAAAATCGATTAAAATCGATTTTTTTAATAATCGATTATTTTTTCACATCCCTAAAGCATTTTATACCAACTAAACAAAATTTTCATCTACCTGAATGTGTATGGAATAAATAATTTAATTAATAAATATTCACAGGGGAGCCCAACCTCCAAACCTTCCCAAAGACTTTCAAGACGCATTAGACATAATTTTCCCATCCGATGTGAAACCAGACATGAAACAACAGGAGTTATTCCAAGGTATGAACCAGCAAATCCCAGGCTTCAGTGGGATGGGAATGGTTCCACAATTTCAGCAGATCGGCCTTTTGGGACAGACTCCAATGATGGTACCATTCGAAATGAATGCATCTATGTACCCTCGACAACAGTTGTACGACACCCATGTCCCAATATTGCCGAAAAATCAAATAAATGACAAAAGACAGAAGAATCAAGAGGAGAGTGAGAAGAAGATCGAGAGGAATAAAGAAGAGTTGGATGAATTGGCCATGCTGGGTATTGATGCATCTGATGTTGGGGCTTGCATGTGATTTTGTGTGTATAACAGTTATAACACAATTTAAAAACTGTGAAAATTTTTCTTTATTTTTTTTTTGTATGTATGTTACCATTATTAACATTACCATATTTTGTTGAAACATCTAAACTTTTCAATAAGGATATGTCAGTGACTTTTTCATTTGGTATCAGTAGATTTCTCTTGTTTGCAAATAAGATTAAGTTAAATTGCAGACTGTTATTTATTTCTTCAGATCAATAAATATTCTCATTATTACACAAATACTTCGAAATTAATTTGACATTTGCCATAACCTATTTTAAATATTAAATTTGTTGTAGAAACAATGCTAAATATTATATTTAATTCATACAATAATTGTAAACACAATATTCGAATTGCACTTCTTAGTAAGTATACAAAATTGGTAAATAAAACTTGTATGCATTAAACCCAGTATTAATTATTATATTTTTTTTAAACAAAATATAAATATTATATAAATCTAATTGATAGACCAAAACTTATGAAATGCCTTAAGAAGTGTAATAAGCAATAAAATAATACAAAGCTAACATTTATTGGATATTAAAACTAATAACAATATTAAGATTACATAAAAACAGTTTATTATATGTTGTTCTTATGAAATTGTTTTATTTATTTACAGTATTAGTTCAAATATGGTTTGCGTGAATTCCTTAGTGAACTTTCTTAAGAGTGAATAGAATTTATAACATTTAATTTTTTTAATTAATACCCGAAAAACCACGTCAAAGACAAAATAAAAATATTCCATAAATCATTAGCTAAATATCAAAAAGTATTAATTAAATTTATAATTTCCTGAGTATGCAAATACATATTATAAAAAGAGTATTTTATGTTAGCACGTTATGCATTATTTATGTTATTTGAAATGGCGACAGCCTTAGAGCGTGTTAAATGTTCGAATTTTAAAAAATTCAGGCATTTTTATTTCAATGCGAGTGCTACTGTATATTATAGGTCTACCAGAAACTTGTGGGAAAAAAATTTTTTTAAAAAATTTTTTTTTTTTTGTAAAAAAAAAAAAAAAAACCCTTTTTAATATAAATTTTTGGGTTTTTTTTTTTTTTTTTTTTTTTTTTTTTTTTTTTTGTTAAAAAAACCCCCCCCCCAAAAAAAAATTTTTTTTTTTTTTTATAAAAAAAAAAATATCAAAAAAAAAAAAAAAACAAAACCCCAAAAAATACCCCCCCCCCCCCGGGGGGGTTTTTTTTTTTGGTATTTATTTTTTTTTTTTTTTTTTTTTTTTTTTTTTTTTTTTTTTTTTTTTTTTTTTTTTTTTTTTTTTTTTAAGTATAAAATAAATTGGATAGTTTTGATTTAGAATTGATAAAAAAAAAAAAAAAAAAATTTTTCTCTTTTTTTTCTTTCTCTCAAATAGGGATCGTGAATGGGTGAAAACATCGAGTCTACCGTTTGTCCCAAATCTTCAATATTATTGAAATTTCCCTAAACATTTCAGATGCGCTAGCGCTTCTTTTTATAGTTGTCAATTGTCATTTATCAAATCTTTATAGTATTTGGAATTGAATGTGACAGTAAAGCCACATAAACAACTTGAGTTTTGAACTTAATTGGTTAAGAATTCTTGTAATATGTTTTTCTAAAATATAACATTTAGGTACCTTAAAAAATAGGTAAATAAGTAATAAAACACCATGTCTGAAAATATTAAGACTGTAGGACGTAAAGAAGTTTTTGATGTCACATTGCAACGACATGAAAATCCTAAGTCTAAGAACGCAAGAGACCGTAGCCAAAGCCCTATTATCTCAGAAGCTGGTAATGATGATGGTTACATTTTAGACGAAATAGCTAAGTTGCCCGACCTTAGTGAACTATATTGTGAAGATGAACAGGATACTTCTATGGGTTCGTATGATTATACAGAAAAAAATGACGGTGAGTTAAAATTCTAGTAGGTAGTTTTTGTTATTATTATTATGGTTATTTGAAATAAGTAACTTTTTTCTTCTAACAGTTCAAACTGCTCCCATGACCAAATTTCGTTAATGTTGATTATGGTATGTTAATTATTGTTTCAAAATCTATCAATTTTAGTAGGTAATTAAAGAAAGTTATTACTACTAATACTTTATCGTTAATGTATATTAATATATGTTACTAGCAGACCGGCCAAATGTTGCTGTGGCTAAGGTTTTTGTTATATTACATAGTAGCAAACTATTCAAGGGAAACGGTAGGAGAACACCAGTCATGGGGACCACCATGCTTTTTTGGTGGTTATGCCATTAAATTGTAGCTTATGTGAAACGTTAGTACTTTCAACACAGCGCCATCTGTTAGAATTGTGACTATCAAATAATTTGCAAATATTTCGCAATCAAATAATATTTCGGGTATAAATTGAGATGTAAGCTATCCTATCTTTTATGTTGGATCAAACTACACACTGTGTGCAAATTTGATTGATATTGGTTCGGTAGTTTAGGAGTCCATAGCGGACAAACGTGACATAAAATCTATATATATAAAGATTAAAACCATAATTAAATGTTATTGGTTTTTGGATTTTTATTTATATTTTAATTTTTCAGGGATGTCCAAATCTGATGTCTATCACAAAAATTTACAAAGGAACAGACAAGATAGTTTTAAACTTTTTACTGATATGCAAACTACTATTGTTCAGGTTACTTTTTAAAATATTTTGTCTAGATAATATAAAAGATTCTCTGATTTTTGGTTCCTCATTTTTTTTACAATAAGAACTTGCCTGTCTGGTGAAAATAAAGATTGTGCAAAGAATACTTAAACCCAAATATCTACAATCTGTAACTGGCATAGAAGAATATAATTTAAATATGCTGAAAACACGCCAATACCCATACAGGGTTAGCACCTCTGGATTATTATTAAACTCCTATTTAACATACATACAGGAAGCCTCTAATAGCTTCACTTGTGCCATACAGCCAATAAGTAAATGTAATAAAACATTATTAATCTTCATAACTAATTAGTTGTACTACCAAAAAGTCATATTTTTTATGAATAAGTTATTAATAATTCTAGTACATAATTATATTTATTTCTTCTATCTAGGAGCCTTCACACACTAAATATGATATGTCACATCTATTGAAATACAATACTTTAACAACCACTTCAAGTAAGTATGATGATTTGCTTTGTCACATTAAAAAATAATGTGTAATAAAATAATCAGCTAATCCAGATTCCATTTTACTATCCAAATATCAAACATAAGCAATGTTTCTTAATTTTCTCACAGCACAATTGGATGATTCACGGCATATCACCATGTTAATAAGACAAAGGGACAATTGTAAAAAAAGTGCTACAGAGCTTAAAAATAAATTGAAAGCCTTAAAGCTTCATAGTAAAAGCAGCAAATTGTCAAGTACTGATAATTTCGTCAAAAATAATAATAAACTGCAGGTTTGTTTAGTTTTAACAGTTCAGCTCTATTTGCTTCAAGCTTTTATTTTGTTTCTGAAACTTAACACATGAGTGTAGTCTTTTTTCTAAGTTTGATGCTGAAGAAAAACTTTGTTTATAAGTTATATTGTATAAGTAATAAAGTATTTATGGATTGGATCATGCATCATGTTACTTTTTCTGTTTTTTATTGTCATGTCATGTCAATAGTTGGACCTCCATAAAAAGTTGAAGGCTACCGGCAATGTTGTAAAGATGTTGGATGAAATCATAGAAGCAGAATGTTCCGAAGCTTACAATACAGAAACAAAAGACAGGTTTAATTTTATTACTGCCTTTATTTTAATTTTATTTACAATTAATATTAAAGGGGAGGGAGGGGCTTGTTGACAAATGCCCTCTTTATCTCATTTAAACGTACTTAAATGGCCTTTTAACTAAGCTAAAGCCGATAGAAATTTCAAGAGATCTGATCACTCACTCTTTAAAATGTGCAGTCCTTATGGGGACAAGCAAAATTTAAGATTTTTTATACAAATATTTAAAATGTTTAATGCTTTGCCAAATAGATAAATTGTAGCAAGTGCGTTTTAAATTATTGATTTTATCTAATAGTACTTATAGGACTAATACTTATTTATGTATTATTTTTGTAGGAGCCAAGCACAGAAACAATATAAATATAATTACGAATATTATGACCCGGAGTTACACTGGTGTCATATTTGTAACGTGTTCCCACAGACCGCGAAAGATTTTTTAAAACATTTGCATAGCAGTCTTCATCAGGAGTAAGATATTTTTCGTAATATACCTTAAACCAGTGGCGGATTTATAGATTTGCCGCCCGTAGGCTATTCAAATTTTGCCGCCTCTAAATTTTGATATCTTAGTCCACAATCATATCAATTTTCTATCAATAAAATTCCAACTTCATAATTTGTGCTTCATCATCCTCGTTACATCAACATTTCCCTTATAGTTATTATTATTGAGAACTATGGTACCGTGTTAGATCCTTGATTATTTTTCCAGCAAAGATTATCAAAAAACATTATTTTAAGGAAAAAATATCTCAATCGTATACCACTTTTAAAGTAAGGTAAGGTATGTCTTAAAACTATACAATACTTACAAAATATGAATGTCATGTCATATCGTTTGTTCTGGCGTTACAATACAAATACGACTACGCAGTACGCAATTGCATGCCTTAAGTGCGAAGCGCGTAGTATAGTCCAGTCAAAATAGGCATTTGACTTAGGCAAAAATTCGCATAGAGCTGAAAATTGGCAGAGACGTTAAATACATCATTATAAATGAAATGTCAAAAATCCCCTTTCCCGATCCTACTTCTGCAAAAAAATTTTATTCAAGGTCTAAAGTATAAAATTAAGGTTTTTCCATTTTTCTCGAAAACAGTTAGTATTATCGTGAAAATTGATCAGACAAAAGTTGTAGATCATACAATTCTTTACAAAAATGGTTCAGTCACTTTTTCTCTTACGACTCACCATTCATGAGATATCGCGGTTTTAATCATTAGAAAATTCATATTCTACATAATATGCACACATTTCCGCACCACCTATGAGGTAATGTACTTGTCGCATTTTTTTTAACGTGGTTTCCCCAGTAGGTATACTCCACGATCTATTGTAATAAAGAAAGTTTGATCAGATCGTATCCTATTAATTGAAAGAATAGTAATATTGCTAATGATTAAAGTAGAATAGGTTGTTTTTTTCTACATGTCATTATATAAGATAATTGTCTAATTCTACTTCAACAATTATTTCTTCGTCTTCATTCTCTTCTTCTTGCAGAATTTCTGTTTGCTGTTCTAAGAAAAGGGATGCATCAATTGTCTCTTCATTAATATCATAAATATCTTCATCTGTTGTATTTGTTTCAATATTGGAGCAAGTCTGACCCTGACAATTGATGCATACTGGCGAACAAAATAATCCTACTTTTTGACAGCCACAATTCTTACTACAATCCGTCTTGCATTTACAAAAAATAGTATTAAGTAGTTTTGCTGGAGCAGGCGGGAGTAAAGTTTGAATTGGCTCCAAATAATTATCTGTTAATTTCCAACCCCATTCTTCTGGGTCCAGCTCATTGCCTAGCCACACTTGAACTTGATAATACACACGATACAAGTGTTGAAAGGCAGAAGCAGATGTTGGAGGCAGACAAGACAACTGTACTGTTTTATTGTTCCATGCAGATTTTACAAACTTCAAATATCTATATTTGTCTATGGAATCAATTTTTTTGGAGCACCATACATTGCAAGAAGAAAATGAATTCCATTTGTAACGATGTCGTGTGGAGAAGAGTCAATCTTTGTGAATACTTCTGCGCAATTAATTAAATCATTACGTTTTTAAAATTGCTGATGTAGTATCACAACCAGTTATTGCATGTAAAAATAAAATATGAGCTTGACATTTCGGATATGCAGTCGGACTTTGTGATGAATATATTGTTGATTGTACTTGAGCTTTCCCAGGTTTTAAAAAGTAAATAATTTTATCATTTGAAGTACGTGCAGTCAGTAATATCAACAAATCAACATCTTCCCCAACAACGACAGTTGTATTTGAACTTTTCCATTGTTCTATTGCTGTTTCAATTATAAGGACATCAGCATCATTATCAGCTTGTTTTATTGAAATACCAGCAGCTGTAAATTCTTCACATAGCATTAAAATGAAGCGAGACTTATTGTGAGTATTTGCAAGAGTAGTCTTATATTTTAAAATCCTCATTTAATATATACAAGTTTTATTGTGTAAGTAACACAAACGAATAGTTTCTTATTTTCATTTATATTGAACGTCCTGTGACGTATACAGACTGCATTTTAGTGCATATTATGTAAAATATGAATTTTCTAATGATTAAAACCGCGATATCTCATGAATGGTGAGTCGTAAGAGAAAAAGTGACTGAACCATTTTGTAAAGAATTGTATGATCTACAACTTTTGTCTGATCTATTTTCACGATAATACTAACTGTTTTCGAGAAAATGGAAAAAAACCTTAATTTTATACTTTTTGACCTTGAATAAAAATTTTTGCAAAGTAGGATCGACGGAAGGGATTTTTGACATTTCATTTATAATGATGTATTCAACGTCTCTGCCAATTTTCAGCTCTATGCGAATTTTGGATAAGTTATGACTTATTTTTGTCTATTTTGACTGGATTAGTAGGTATGCTCTACTCATGCCTAAAAATCTAAAATCGATGTTTTCTCACATTAAACCGTACCTAACAAATATGATGTACATGAATATTATTTAAAAAAGCAACTTATCGGAATGAAAAATGATCGCTGAGCTTATAAAAATTATTTTTTCGGTTATGATTAATAATTTTTTATTTAAAAGGAAGTAATTTTAATGCCATATTGTATGGATTTTGGATGATCGTGTTCACAGTAAACACGATAACTTTCGAAAAAATAATTTTTTCACTTCTATTTTTTTTAATACTTGTTTAACTGGAGAGAAGCCGTTGAATAAAAAATTGCAGCTGAGTATTGTTTTATCTTCTTATAATTAATTCATTCCGATTGGCATTTTCTGAAAAAGTTATCAAATCTACTGATGTAAACATTTAATTTAAATAATTCGTGATTTTACAAACTTTTTCTTACTGCAAATAAAATAATTAACTGATAAAATGTATCAATTTTCTAATGAGCTAATTGTCTTACTTCATATTTTGTGGAGGGAATTTTTTTATTGTCAAGTCACAGTCGTTCAACTACTTATCAGTTATTTGATTAATATGATCTCTTATATATTGAACTAGTTTTTAATATCTTATATATTGAACTAGTTTTTTATTTAATAAAAATTAGTCAATTTTAGTCAGTATTTTTATTAGACCATCGATATTATATCGATTGAATTGGGTAAGCAGATCTCATAATTATTAGGTACACGGAGAAAAAATTATAGCAGTTATCAGTGAAGAATATATGTAAAAATTACTAAATTTCGATTATAATATCGAATCGCGATATTCTAAAAGTTCATAATCATTAATGTATAATTAGTAAAGCGTTTAGGAATTGTTCATGCAGAGATGTTGAAATATTTATTAATTAGCACTGTATATGAGAATATTTCGATTTTTGTTAAATATTTTAATTTCTCTCCAATTTTCGAAATTCGTATTATGTGTGTGTTTTAAATAAAAAAAATTTTAAATTTGTAAACCGAAATATAAAATTTATGAACTAAATTTGCCGCCCCTAAAACTTTGCCGCCCTTAGGCTCCAGCCTACTCAGCCTGCTGGTAAATCCGCCACTGCCTTAAACTACTCAGCTTAATATTTTGGATTATCTATTACCTATCTTATAGATATATTTTTTTTTAACTTTCGAAAACTTTATGCTTTACTTATTCTCTTTTTTTTTCATGAAAAATATTTCGAACTTAACGGTCGATTTAGGATTTTCTCTTGGAATTGTAAATTTATATAGGAAATGGTTTTACAAATCTGCTCGTGTCTTTGAATATGTAACGTAATGTCTTTAATTATGTCATAGAAAAAGTGCAGACCACATAGAAAAGCCGTGGAGTGAACAGACGGATTTCGACGTAGGTTTCCCTCATGTGCCTTCTGCTCCATCAAAACGAACGCCTATTAGAGGTTAGTTGTTAGGGAATGTTAGTTTGTAACAAATAACGTTTATAGAAAGTTTTTAAAGAACTGTATAACTTTGCACTTAATATTATGGTTTCAATTCGGGAGAATTTACGCAGGCATTTAAATTTAACTACTAAAGCTAATTTCATATATACATATAAATATACTGTATATAGAATTGGCGCGTTATTATCTCAGAAGAAATATGTGCGCTACGCTGTGGAGATGCGAATTAACTATTTTAAATCGATCGACGCTTCGATGTGCCTCGACTCTGCGTTAGTATGAATAACCCTAAGCCACAGAATTTTAAGATTACAAATTCTCTATAAACTGGTAAACTTTCATCTATTTGATATATTTTGTATTCACTAAAATTAACAACAATTTTTGCATAACTCAGTAGGGCTAACATAATTGCCAGATGGGAATTTCGAATAGAATATTTTTTTTTATTTTTTGCTGAGACTTTTTTAAATATGTACCTAGGTATACATTTTAATAATATTACATTGCTTCAATAAAAAAAAATGCAGTTTCATTTGAAACAGAACTTATGGCTGGACTAGTTATATAAGTCCGTATTCTATATCATGTTCCAAGAAAGAGAGATGAGAGAGAAAATAATTCGAATTTTGAGATTTAATTTGTGTTTCATAGAAATAGATTGAATTAACGGACATATTTAGGTCTTCAGTTCTATGTGCCAACAACAGCGTGGTACTGTAAGCTGTGCAAGCACTTCATGGGCGACGCGAACTCTGCCTCAAATCATCTGAAGTCTATCATACACGCTAACAAGTATAATGTAAGTGTCAATAATCAAAAATACTTATGATACGTAGATAGAGTATAGAACTAGATGAGCTTCTTAAATAACAATAATAACTAAAGAGAGAAGGTATTAACGTGAAATACTTAAGTGCGAGCGAAACAGAGTATCAGGTTTTCTGTCTCTATTTGCGTATCGGGTTTTATTTGTTTACCACCGAGCCCTTGGTGGTAAACAAGTTTTCACCGCTTACTGATAAATCGATGAAACCCAAGTCAAACCCATATTTTAAGACTTTATCCTTATAAGAGGTGTATTTAAAGTGTCAGTCATGGTGCATTGTTGCATAATTGGCTGTAAAAGCTATAGTGAACGTAAAGAACCAAAAATCTTTCATCGGTAAGTAGCTTATTTTGTCACGACTCAGAAACTTTGTTCAAGAATTATTATTTCGAATGTGTATTTTGGTCAATAATAAGCAATCTTTAATTAATTAAAATTGTAAATATGACATATGTTTATTATTCGCTATCTCACACGCTGTACGCTGATGCCTGGTCTATACCATAGTCCGTCTACGTTATGATATGATATAATAATCTTATGAACTAAAAACTATCAAATGTGTCTACTGGTTTTCAAAAGGCGTAGAACGGAGGAGAAGAACTGGCAATAAACTCTCCGCTACTCTTTGTAATCGCCAAGGCTTTTCTTTAGAATATACTCGGTCGCTGGATTAATGTTGTAAATTCGGAATCGGCCAAACAATAGAGTATTTTTTTATTTCAGGAATTTATTGAGCATAACCCACATTTTGAGACCGACTGGATTTCCGATCGCCAGAAGGCGTACGAAAAAGTTCAAAGATTGAAGAGGCTGATCGAAAATGAGAAGATAGTTAGCATCTGTGTCAGTAGTGACACAGACACTGAACCTACTCATACGAAGGGTATGTTCAGGTATTCAAGACATATAGAGAACAAAATATCCCGTTAAGAGGCAATTTTGAAATGCCTATTGTTTTTCGTATATTTATTATAGCCTAGCCACAGCCGATAGTCGTCCTGTCAAAAAATAAAAAATCTTTTGTAATAAAATCATCAAAATCTCTCCGCAAGGGAAACATAAGCTCTATACATATATATTTATTTATTTACACTTCGTTGCAAATAAAAGAAACACAATACATGAAAATTATAAGGGATGCAACGGGCGGCCTTATCGCTAATAAGCTATCTCTTCCAAGCAACCCTAGTTAAAGAAAAACTAAAAAAAAAACATGATGCGTGGCGAGAAGTGCAGAACCAAATGTTATATAAAAAATTATATATATATAGAACCTTAATAATATATAAAGATACTAGCTGACCCGGCAAACGTTGTTTTTCCATGTATATTATATCGAGGACAATTTTTTTTAGTTCAATAAAAATAGCTATCTACAATAATAAAAATAGGGGTTGATCGTAGAGGGATACAAAATTAGGGGTTATATGTATTTTTATCATCAAACCCTTATAAATTTAGTTGAAAAAAAAATAGTAGCCAATTTTCCCGCCCTCCTAATTTTTATATAAAATTTTTTAAAATTTTTAAAAAGGCCCCTCCGGGGGTATAATATAAAAAAAAAAAAAAATGAAACGAGAATTTTATAAAAAAGATAGTATTTATCTTTTTTCATAATCTATTTATTATCTAAAAATGCGAACGGTCTTGTTGTTAGCGGACGTATGACCTTTATAGTTTTTAAAAAATATTTGCCGACTTAAAGAAACAATATTTTTTTTTTAATGAAAGCTAGTTAGTAAAGCTACTAATATTATTATTAATATGTGTTTCAGAAAAAAGAATGAAAAAGGAACGTCACATTAAGCATACGAAAGAGAATATTTTGAAGTAAGTCGGATTAAAAAGATTGAAGTTTAGTTTATATGCAATTTGTTTATCGAAAACACAAATAAAATGCTCTTTAGTAAAGGGCAAAATAATCGATTTTCAGTATCGGACGTCATGGCAGAATACAAAATATCATCGCTATCACCTCGACGTTCGTCGTTCCACAACTGAGCCTTTTTAAAAGCAGTTTCTGGCAATGAGACTGTCTAGGGGCGGCAGTATAACTTAAGATCAGATTAGCCTCCCGCCCGATTGCCCCCTGTTAAAAAAAACTGAATATCCCAATATTTAAATCGATAAAATTACAAGTAATTTGATTTATTAAACCATAGAGTTGGAGTTTAGTATTTTTTAGCTGTCAAAGTCGAGTATGTACTGCTGTTAATTATTAAAAAAAATCATACATTATTTTAAATTTTGTAGGACAAACTTCGAAAAAATTGCTGAAATAGATTCAACGCGATCCCGACAACATACATTTACTCCAAGCGATCGTGTTTATGACCGATCTGTCTCTCGTGAGGTAGATGATAATGAAAGGAGACGTTTAGAAGCACGCTGGAAAGATAAAGATAGTGAAGGAGAGAGACGGATGAACGAAAAAGGGAAGTATTCTGACGAAAGAGAGAGATACCAGGAGAGATCAACGCTGTGTTATAACGAGAGGGAGAGACGGAGGGATGAAAAAGACAGAGAAAGAAGACATCGACGGGATTCAAGGTATAATCACCGATACAGACGTGATTCGTGGGAACAATTACGAGAGCCACAACAAACTAAACCAAATTACAGGGAAACTAAAGGTAAAAAAGTTTTTTTTTCTTCTCAAATGGTAATATTTTTAACCGACTACAATAAAACCAAAAGGAACATTTTTTTGTATTTGACCTATTCAGTTTTTGTTTATACTCAGCGCTCAAGGGATATCGTATGTATACTATTATTGCATGAAAAATACTCCACTTTTTAACATCTTCTCTCCTTATAGCAAAAATTTTGCCGGAACCTGAAAAAGATAATGGAAACCCAAAATTTAATGTAAGTTTTATCATTAACTTAAATTACCTTTAATGATCGATGTGTTTATCGTGTCCGTGGGGACTCCACACTCGGATTCCTTGTGTAAATTTTTAACTATACATAATTTTTTTAATGTTTTTTTTCTTTCTTTCTATGTCACTTTCTCGGTGACACTCAGTTTGTACTGGGAAATATAGTTCCAAAATTATTTTCTTAGAGAAATGATATGATTTTTCGTATTTAGAACTTGTCATTTTCTCAATTATTTTACAGATAAAAGAACTGAAAGACACTACGACGAAATTATATAACAACGAACGCCAAAAGAACGAAAACATTTATCAACTCGCTGCCACTTGGCTAAACAACAATCCTTTGCCTATCTATCCACCAATAGCTGTACCGTAAGTTAATATATATTACTATAAATATCGGAATTACAGCCTTGGTAATATAAACATACCAGAAAAAAACCACATAAAAAACGTGTGTACTTATACACGCGTTAGAAGTTATACTTCTTTGGCATAACAAGATAAAAATCTTTTCAAAAATTTTATCTTTCGCCTTATTTTACGTTTGTAGATAAAACGACACTAACAATATAAAAAATGTACTCTCATAATTTTTCCCTAACGCGCCAAAAGAAGTGTAACTTCAAAAAAACTAAAATGTTGACTACCTAACTTCAGGGTGTCGGTTTTTGTGACGGTGTGCAGGTGTTGGTTTTTTGTAACAGTGTGCGGATGTCGGTTTTTTGTGACGGTGTGCGCACGCAACGTAAAAATCTACTTTTATCATTTTTCCCTAACTCGCCAAAAGAAGTATATCTTCAAAATTTAATAGGTAGATGATCAACCTTCTGTGATACGCCGTCGACTATTTGGGTCTAGAATTTCCTCACGATATTTTCTTCACTGTACATGCGAGTGTTAAATACGCATGCGCATATAGACGAAGTCCATTCCAGAGAGTCGCACTGACAAACATACAAAAACAAATCTTTCCCCTTAATAATATTAGTATAGGTAATCAAAAAAAGGAGGAAGAAGTAATACGCCCAGAAGTCTAGACTAGAACGACTATTTAACAAAATTGTTTCCTTGAAATAATAAAATAGAGAAAGTAGAGTTGATGTCCGTGATGGCTACTTTTGTGGTTGCACGTACAGCTGATAAGTTTTATTGGTGGTGGGTTCTAGGTAGTGCCTACAGCTACATGATAAGCTACTTTTTGTTCAAAACGAATTGCGTGGGTTTTCGAAGTTATACTTCTTTTGGCGCGCTAGGGAATTATTATGAGAGTAATTTTTTTTCTATTGTTAATGCCGTTTTTTTATAACGTAGAATTAGGCGAAAAATAAAATGTTTGAAATGATTTTTATCTTGTTACGCCAAAGAAGTATAACTTCTAACACGTGTACATAAGTACACACACGTTTTTTTTATTTAAAATTAATTCTATAAAATAATATATAATTCTATTTTTGTTTAAATTTTTTTTATATTTCAGTGACGGTGACATAAATCAGTATTATCCTTATGGGTATCCTTATTATATGGGAACGGGTTATGGATTAGAGTCTATGATGAATCCCGGAATGATAGCTCCTTGTACTGGTAACTCCGGAACGAGTTTGTTGGGCGAACCACCGATATATTACGGATTTAATCAAACATTCTCACTTTTGTATAATCAGATGAATCAGGAAAGCCAAACAATTGGAAATATAATACCGCAGGACTCGAAAGAACATATAGAGGAAGAAACCAATGGTGCAGAAGAAAATGAAAAGTGTAAACAAGAAGGAAATGAAAATGAGAATAATCGAATAGAATAAAAATCAATAGTACAACAAAACTTAGAGAGTGTTAAAGATGAATCTCAAACTGTTAAGGATCTCCAAGAGCAGCCTCCTAATAAGGAAAACGTTGAAGTTCAAACATCTGACAATAATCAAAACGCATCTATTAAAACTTAATGCTATGCAAATATAGTAACACTACATACCCAGAGTAGTGTTGATCCTAGTGGATTAAATGTTCGAATCTCATCCATGAGGTCGTAGGTTCGATCCCCGGGTTCAAATGACCTTTTGTTTATGTGTACATTTAATACTCGCTCCCGAGCTCCAGGCATGAGGGTATCCCGGGATGGGCTATCCGACATGTTGTTAGAGCACAGATCGTAGCTGGAAAAATTCTGCGGCCCCGACTCGCCCATAAATATTATGACGATATTTCCGGAGTAGTTGTCGCCCGGGCCGTGCGGGAGACGCAAATCCTTTAAGATAATAATGTCCCTTTTTAAGAAAGGGGAGAATTCGACACTCCCCTGCTGCTTAGCCACTCGGTCACATATCTGCCTGATTGCGTGTCTGATAGGCTAGGATGTAAGGGTGCAAACCAGCATGCCTTAGACCTAAAAAGTCGACGGTGTGTCAGGCACTCGCTATTAGAAATGAGCACAGAACAGATACAGTAATCTGAGGCCCAGACCTAAGGCAAGGCTATACATATATACGTATCCTAGGCCGTGTGTACGGTCAAATGTTAAAATAACCCCATGGGAATGTTTACCCAAAAAGAACCGGATTTTGATTGGGGTTATCTATGTGTAGGTGATTTAGAAAAATGTTTCACTTGGAATTAAGTTTAAGGCATTCCAGTATAGAGTTAGGAATGTTTTGCATCATACCGGGTATAAAATGACCTCCAAATCTTAACTTGAACTGATCTTTTGGTTGTACAAAGGAATATCTGCGTTTTTTAAAAAAATATCTGCGTGCTATGAATAGGCGAATCAAAACAAGACTACTTTTTTTCCGTCAAAATAAAATTAACAAAGTTACATTATACCTAAGTATCTTTGGAGGAAATCTTTGGTAGTATTAGTATATTAGTTTTGAATTTTCAGATATTTTTCGCATTTTATTTAAAGTTGTGATTAATATTTGTGCCTTAAATATCATGTCCAATATAAAGTATAATTATTTTTTATATGTAAGCTTTTTGTAACAGAAACAAATGTAAATAGAGTATAAAACATATCGATTTTTATTTCATACCAGCTGACCCTGCCAACATCGTTTCGCCGTAATATAATTTTTTTACTTAGCCTACGTTTAACAAAATTTGTTTTTAAGTTTTCATCCTTCCTCTGAATTCAAGAAAAAAATAAAAAAAAATAACTCGAATTGGTCCAGCCGTCTTCGAGTTTTTATTATTTATAACTATGACTGCGCATATCCAACACACATTTTGAAACAATGTTTTAATGCAGGTAATAATATTGTACAGTTTAAATGTAATACATACAGTTCCAATAAGATTGCCAAAGTCAAAGATAGATCTCTAAAACATGTGTAATATAAATTTTATTAGTACTTACAGACAGATTTTCAATTGAGGCGTATATAAATTATACAATAATAGATATTAAAATTGTCCGATTAAAACATTAACGTTTCGATAAAAGCTATCTATAGACTGGGTCAACCAAACATCTGGTTTTGATACTTATCTTAGAAAGAACTTAGTTTTTTCTTTTGATAACATTTTTATCTACACTAATATGATATAGAGATTTGTTTTTTGTGTTTGTTTGTAATGGATAAACTACTGAACTGATTGTTTACTCCTAGTTCACCAGGTAAAAAAAAATGGTGCGTGTACTTAAGTACGCGCGTAAGAAGTTATACTTCTATAGCATTATTAAAAATAGTTTTTGACTGCATGCAAATAATTAATTACAATTAAATAATCAAAGACTGGAAAAGGAGTCATTATAGTCAATAAAGTTCAGTTTACATTTGAAAAATTAAATAAATAAATATTTATTATTATTTATTAAGTGTAACATAAATTCTATTATTATTCGAATGTTGTTTTTAAATTATGTCCAATTCCGTAGCATTTTCCGTGGGCAACTTCATACTGATAATTTTGTGTCACGGTGCGCGCGCGTCGTAAAATTTCACTCTCATCAATTTTTCATAACGCGCCTAAAGAAGTATAACTTCAAAAGATTCCGAGGTATTGCGTACAAGGATGGATAGGGTTACATCGGGTGAGCTTTCTGCCCATTAGACCTCTATTTTTTTAAATAAAAGAGACAGCTTATAGAAAACGCTGTTACACTTTAAATCATGTGAATTTCATTTTCTTTAGACAGAGTTCATGTTAATCTAAGTAGAAACGTTAGTACGAAGGGACCTTAATAATATGACTTGACATTCGCAGTTGCTGGCAATAGCTTGTTCTACAAAATCCCTCACGTTATTGATAAACATAATTCTGCAAAATTATTAAAAAACAACTTTTTATTATGATTCAAATCACGGTCTTTGAAAACAGTATGTTAGGAATGAACTTCCCCTGCTCGTAGTGTATTTACTCTCCATATGCTCTTGTTCTAAAGAAAAATATCACGAGGAAACTATCGACGGCTCATTGGTCTAGTGGTTAGTACCCCTGACTGCGAATCCATGGGTCCCGGGTTCGATCCCCGGCTGAGACAAACATCGATGTGATGAGCATTTGGTGTTTTGCTTAGGTCTTGGGTGTTTAAGTATGTATTTATATGTCTATCTATCTATAATATGTATGTATATCCGTTGCCTAGTACCCTTAACACAAGCTTCACCAGCTTAGCATGGGACTAGGTCAATTGGTGTGAATTGTCAAAAAAAAAAAACTGATACGTCGGAAAAAAATCTACATCGTTATCAACCTAAGAATGCTAATTCGATTATAAAGATAAACCAACTAATTAAGAAAATACCAATAGAAGATGCAACGATATGAGGCTATGGTCTATGGAGTGTTGTAGCCACTGAAGGTGAACGCATAGTAGGGGTTAAACGTACATGAAAACAATAATTTACACTTGGCACACAATGTATGTACTTACTATATGTTAAAAACAGTAGGTACTTATCAATAAACAGGAAGTAATAATAACACTTTATTGACATCACATTCACAATATTACAAAACAGGAGAGTTGTTATCATACTGATAAAATCAGTTTCTTCCAGATGTAACCATTCTAAATATTAAAAAAAGAAAATACAATACCTTAAACTACTTAATATAAAAATATATAGTTGTATACCTGAAGATGTCTACATCTAGCACTGGTTTGCACTCTGTCGTTAAGAAAAAGATAAACAAAAATCTAAGAAAATTTGCTTAACTACTTATTTAATTCTTATTATGTTCAAATACCATTTAATACATTTATATTTTTTTGAATGCACAAGTGAACAATTTATTAAGAGAATTAACTAAAAAAATCCTGATTCATTTGGTGGAAATTCTTTATTTATATTAGATATATCAATATCTTTCTATGATCTTTATAATATATAACTGAACTTATAAATAACAGGAAAGCCATCAACGCAAAATACGAAAAATGTTACATCATACATACGTATGTATTAAATGCCGTGTACCTAACGGCATGTTAACAGATGCCGTCTTAAACTCGACTCGGTTCGTCGTCATTGATTGACGAATAATATTTACGGAGATAAATTATGTAAGTATAATATTTTTATTTCATAAAAAAGAGTTTAGTTAACAACATGGAAGTAGATTAACGCATTCGTTCGATATTTAAAAATGAAATAAGACAGATTTAATAGTTTATGTACGTAACATAGTACACGTTTTATTTATTTTCTGAATATATATACTATCTTTGTTATCGCATTAATTGTAAATAAATCAACGTCACTGAGAGCTATAGAATTTATCTACTGATAGATGATGACTTAGCATTATTTTCATAATAATCTAAAAGTAGCGTTTCATGCCGGCTAGATTTTATATGTTTTACTCATAATATTGTGAAGAGTTATCTGTGTTTGTCCTCTCAGTGAGTTTAAGTGAGTGCGTTCTCACAATTTAATAAAATATAAATATTCTATTTAAATAGTATTTGGTTTGGCCCGTAGACCTTACAGTATAAACATTCATAGTTGCGAATTCCATTTCTAGACATCGTTCCTCGTGAAACATGGCGTCGGATAAAGTCTTTCATTCCCGCTCTCAAGGTATTCCCTCTGAGGGAGTAAAAGATCAGTATGCTGATGGTAAGGCTGCGAGGATATGGAAGAAGTACATTGGTGATAGCAACAAACGGACACAGAATTATAGGACCTTTTTGAGTGGAATTCTCAAAAAACATGGCTGTGTTAAAGTCCTCGACGTAGCATGTGGTACAGGGTAAGTGTAAATTTACGACTTGTAGAACCTACGAGTACCTTGTAGATTTAGTTATACAAAAATAGTAGATATACTAAAAAAAGTATCTAACCGCAATTTTTATAAAACCGTTATTTAACGCAGCGCCTTCATTCTTCAGTTAAACTGACAAAGAAATATGTTTAACGAAATCATATATTATTTTTTTTTTGTTTCGTAAAATAACCAACACATTCTTATTGCCAAATATCTATTAGTACGAACAAATTCGCGAAGAGTAGTTAAACCAGTTATTATAGAAATCTTACATTAATATATTGTTTTGTTTATAAATACGCTCTCATTATTTAGATTAACATAATGATAATTCTTGTTTTTATATTATAACATATTTTTTGTGAAGTTTACTTGTTATCATATTATGTTATCTTATAAGTGTAAATTTATACTGCCTCTTTTGCGCGGATGGTCACTTAGGGTTTAATTCTTAGTAAAGAAAATATTTATTTGATTAACATTGGTTTTATTTGTAATCTATACTTTATATTATAAAATAATTTCTTTGCTTGAACGCGCGCTCAGGAACTAATGGTTCGAATTGAACAATTATTTTTAAGTTGAATTGTCCATTTATAAACTTTTTAACATCAAGTTACGACCGAATAATCGCGGTGACCGAGGGGTCACAAGTTTAAGATAATAGACAACGCATTAAAAATTATTACAAAAAATAAAATAAAGCTACTTCTGATTTAATGGACTGACGATTATATAACATTTTTAAAATGTTCATATAAAACAATTCACTCATTATTAACAGTTTGAATGAGCGATGCTTTTAAATATGTTTTTTTACAAGGTCTCAGTTTCAGGAACCTACTAATTATTCTCGGGATATTTAAGCACAATTGGAGTCTTTATAATATATTGTATACTTACTTTTAGTATAGACTCTATGATGCTCGTCGACGAAGGCTTTGAAGTGGTGTCTGTGGACGCGTCCGACAAAATGTTAAAACACGCACTTAAGGCTCGATGGGAGAAACGGCGTGATCGGAAATATGATGAGTGGAGTAAGTAAATTTATATTTCTATTTCATTGATGATACATTTTGAAGCGTGTTCCTTTTTTGATACTGAAATCATCAGTGTGGATCTGTGGATCAGTCTCAGTGACGCTGTAACATTTATTCATATTTACGAATAAAATAAAATTATTTTTAACTTACTTAAAAGTCTTCAAATCATGGGGGTAGAACGGACGAGAAGAACTGGCACTCTCCGTCACTTTCTAATCGCTAAGCTTTTTTTAATAAAACCCTTTTTAGGCTGTCAACTGCAATGTATCAGGCAAGACCTTAGCATTCGATAATTATTGTTCATAATGCTGATTACAATTTTATTGAGTAACAGAATTTTATTTATAAGTGATATCTAACTCTAACAAGCACGTCATAGGCATGTTCTACCAATTATAGCCCTACCATGTGCCATAAAACGAGTTAAATTAAACACCTTAATAAAATCCTTGAATTTATTCCAACTGTTATTTTTAGAAAACGAAACGGTTCGAAAATTTTAAATGAAAAAATATTTAAAAAAAATATTAAATTTTTTTTTATACATTTCAGTAATTGAAGAGGCCAGTTGGGAAACTCTTCCACAAGACATCGAATCATTTCTGCCCGGCGCTAAGTTTGATGCTCTTATCTGTCTTGGAAACTCCTTTGCCCATCTCCTAGATGAATACGATGATCAAAGAACACAAAAAATGTGTTTAGAAAATTTCGCAAAAGTCCTAAAACCTGGAGGGTTGTTGATAATAGACCATCGAAATTACGATGCGATGATCGATAAGGGCTCTACGCCAGGACATTCAATTTATTATAATGTAAGTAAATTAAAAATGGCCTTGCATCAATGTACGTAATACATACTAGTATATATGCACATATTATAAGTATTATGCATAATAAGTTCTGTCATTGACCAAGCGCCTGAGGCAAAAATACATTGCGATAGTCAATTCAATTTATGCTTAACGAACGGTAATCAGTAATAATATATACTTTCACCAGTATTAGTAAAACTCTGCGCCTACCATTAATCAAATGCAAATTTGCTTAATCGCGTAGTTTTATCCCCAGGAAACAAAACATACTCAGAAAAATGAGAAACAATACTGTATGTATATAGATTGCAATATGTTTGTTTTAATACGAGTGATAAACGAGCAGGACGGTAGGAAATTACTAAATTACATACACAGTAACACATATAGTACATTTGCTCAATGTCTTATAGAGCAATCTCTAATCCAATTAAAATAATATTCTCCTCTCTTTCTTTTCAGAGTTCCTACCCAGTAGATATCAAGACATCGGTGTTAGTCGTTCGCGGAAAACCGGAACTAGTTGCGTTAGATTATTGCATTTGCCCTACAGAGGATGGGGATATTGCTGAGAAGAGGTAATTGTAACGAATGTTTCGTAATTCTAGAAATAATTTACACGCTACTTTTCCGTAATAAAATTTATTATTATTTTACATTCAGTGCAATACTTATGAAATTTATCAGATTGATAATAATCAGTTATTTACCTGCTATCACCCTAAACATGACCCCTACAACTACCATAAAGTTAAAAAAGTCACCACATTTTCATCCATGAGTTAATATATATTTTTATTTCAGTGAATTCCGTCTCTGCTACTACCCTCACAAACTAGATAAATTCACAGAAATGTTAGATGATGCTTTCTCAAACAAAGCTCAACACAGTATATATGCTGACTTTAAACCGCTTAATCAAGTACCGGAGCCAGCTTACTACATCCATGTCATGCAAAAGGAATGATTTGTAAATCTTGTTATATTTTTATAAGAAAATATGTCTATTAAAGTCCAATTATCTGGACTCTTTTTGATTGAATCTTACAATGTTATTTTTAACTAAAAATTCCATTAAATAAAATGCTAAGAAAAGAAAGTTATTTATTCAATCTGTGCTCACATAGATTTATGAAGCCTACTATTTTATGAAAAGAAAGGAGACGAATTAGGCTACATATCGACGGGGGGAAAAATTTTTTTTTTTATTAGAAATTATTGCAGTTCACCAGACCTTTAAAGTATCCATGATATTGCTACCATTTTTAAATATATATTTATTTATAATGCCAGTCACCATTTGCAATGTAAACTTTTTTCCAAAATTTCTATAAAAAGGTGTTTTGTGGGTTTTAAAAAATATTTTTTTTTTCAAACCCCAATAATAAAAGTGATTAAAAAAGAGGGGGGAATATTTACAAATATTACAATTTACAGCAATACTGTACTGTTTGGTAAGCAATTCTTTTTTTATGTTTGGTTGTAATAACATGATTTTGGTAAAAACGTCATTTATAAAACCATTATCCTAAAATTGTCTAAAATGCTGGATTTTTAAATACAGCATTATCCAAAAAAATATAAGTACGGGCTTTTCAACATTATATATGTTATTTTTTTTCTAGAGGAGACAGAGCCCGGACATTCGGTGGGGTTTTTTTTTTTTTTTTTTAGTAGAAAAAATTAGTTTTTTTTTTTTTTTTTTTTTCTTCCAGGAATATGGTATGAAGTCTATGTATAATGCAATATTTCAAATAACTTGCTACTTACTGTTTGTAAGAATTCTCTCACAGATTTTGGGTCATTTATAAAACCATTAACCACAATGCTTAAATACACAGTGGAGTTTAGTTATTAATTGATACACAAAGTAGTTATAAATATTTTTTATTATTGATCTATTCACTGTGAGTAAAAGTTTAAATCTCCCAACATAAACCTTAATTGTGAAACGTGATAACTGACACTATAACATTAAATAGAAATATTTTTTGTAAAAAAGGAAATAATTTATTGCAATAAAATATGAAAGTGGAAGCGAGAATAAACTAAAGAAACCAGGGGACTTAAAGATAAGTTAAAACTAGAGCTAAAATACCGTCTATGAGCCTACAATAATGTTGTTGATCGGAATATGTATCAACTTAACAAAGAAACCAATGAATCCCATGATGCAGAAACCAATAGCTGTAGCAATTGCTATCTTCTGGAACTCTGAAACAATTTGTGTTCTTTTAAATTAAAAGTTCTATATTCAGCAGTTTTAAAGAACACAGAGTAAATTAGAGAAGCACTTCTAAGCCTAATGAATACAAGTACAGTGTTTGAATGAGATAAGATCCTTATTTAATTTATCATATTATATTGTAATGAGATATAATGCACTAGACTTTCGGGTATCAATAAAGTGGCGACATGCCAGCGCAACAACTGTGAAACATACAAATATATAGGATAGTCAAAACATTTCTAGAACACTGTTATAAATTTAAATAAATATTTACTGACCTTTTCTGTCTGGCTTAGTGCATCTTCTCACTAATCTGATAGAATCCTTAGCGAACTGTCTGCCAGGCTCTACGAACTTTACGATTTGGTCCATTTTCTGAAATAAATTAGCTAATAAGTAATGTTAAAATGAAAGGAAGTTAACGTGTTACTAATAAAAAAGTATTTTTATATACTTACAAATTAAAAAGATATGTACACTCAACAATGGAATAGCCACAAATATATGGATTTTCTTAAAAAATCTCAAATTCGTAATGTTTCTCTGGTGAACGTACGTGAAATGTAAAAGACAAAACAAGACAGCTTTCAAAACGTCAGCCACGTTTCGAACAAGTACGGCACGTCATCGGACTGCGATCGGATACTTTTTCTAAATTTTATAACATGAAGATTTTATTGTGGATAATTTGTTATAAATTTGTACAGTGCTATCTAGTTTATCTTAAACTATATAAATATTTAATTAAATCATAAGGTATTACACGTCGGAAATATCTGCGAACCTCGCTGGAATGCGCTTCCCCTGGCGCTTCCCCGCACCCCGCCCCGTTTTCGCCTATCCAGTACCGTTGCCAACGCAATCGCCGACGCACGTGTATTATTCTTGCTTTCGTAATCGCATTTTAGTGTTTATTGTTTCTCTGTTTGGTGAAATATTACATAAACTACCTATTTAGTGCTGTATGTAAGATGGGTAGGACTATAATATATCAATAAAAATAAGTACACAAATAAAATATTTTTTATTTTTACATCTTCAATTTTTTTGCTATCTCTCCAGTTTGTATGACGTCATTAAGCCAGGTTCGCAGATATTTCCGACGACTTGTACTTCTATTACTTTACTAAAACTATAATTTTTGTTTCATTGTAAAAGTACATTTTATTTAAATATTGTCTATGTAGGGATGTGAAAAAATAACCGATTATGGAATAAAAAGTAAAAATCGATTTTTATACGCGATTTTAATATTAAAAATAATCGATTATTTTTATAATTGAAAATCAACCATAGTAGATTTTTCATCTGCCACCTCCCGACATAATGTAACATTCTTTTATAACCCGGACCTCGAACTATTAGGGCTATTTAATATACATCGATGTTTACAATGCGGTACATTGAATAGATCCGATGCTTTGACGATGTATGGATATACTCGATGCATTGATGTCTTTTTATAAAACATCGAAAGGGTGATAAAACCAGTTAATTTCACAAAAACTCAAGTTTGAATTGAACACTATAATTTAAAAGTAAAATAAATTTATTCAGTAGCACAAGGTTACAAACAATAAAAAAGACAACAAAAATACTGCAATGTGCTACTGAAAAAGCATACACTCAGCATCTATCAAATTTCACCTAAAATCTATCAAAACGAGATTAGGTTAGTTTCAATTTTATTATTCTAAAACTTTAATTTGTGTTTATAATTTCTATTGTTTATTTTTCATTAATAAACTCATGAAAAATAAAATATTTAAGGTGTTTATTTTGAAATTATTTCAAAAATTGGGAAAAAATCAATTATGAAATTTCATGTTAAAAAAACAATCGCTTAATTAAAAATCGATTTTTTAGGCACAATGTCACATCCCTATGTCCATGTATTTGTCTAGTGTATTGAACAATTAAATTCTAATCATGGTTAACGGTTATTGTCAATCGTGAACTAATATTAATTTACTTTTGTTATCAACAGTAAGACGAATTAGGGATACATTCTTAAACGTTTAATCCAGAACGAGGAAGTAATAGGATAAGTCGGTATTTCTACGACATAATTACCAATTAATATAATTAATGTAAGAATTTGCGTGAGCTTCTTATTTGGCATACACTCCGATAGCATAGTCTAGAGACTAGAAGACTATAAATTCGAATCCAGAGTTAACACTGAGAAAAAAAAAAAACTTTATTAATGACAAAAGGGTTTGTGACAGAAATTATATATCGCTAGTCCCCACACTAGGGAGGCCCTGTTTTGTGGGAAATATTATATTCAAATACAATTGATGCCTATCTAGCATTGATATACAAAAACCCAAGATGCACAATCAACGTCTAAAAAACGTCCTCAAAAAATGAGCGCAACATTCTAAATTGTGCGCTCATTTCAAATAGTCTCGCGTCTATAAGTGGAGTCGATGTTATTTATTTGTGTTTTTTTATAAATAAATTTATGTACTCTTGAACTTTTTTGTGTGTAGTTTTTGACAAATATATATATAAAGTGTGGGTCAGGAGGTAGCCAATTTAACATTTTTTTTTAATTTAAAGAAAAAACTTTTTAACCGGATTAATGTTATGTATTATTATAAATTTACAACTATTTAACATCCAACACCTTTTGTCTTCAGTCACCGTGACCACTCACGCTGTAAAGCACCCGAAAAGTCGGATAAATTTAAAATTATGTTAAATAGTTGTAAATAAAAAAGTCATGTTCGACTCCACTCAATACCTTGTCCTACCGACCACGGTCGGTCGTAAAATTTTATTGCTTTAAGTACGTATACACTGCGTTGTAATAACAACTTTAAGCAATTCGCGTAAGGTTGATTTTGCAATAATATATGCTTGTAACATATACTGTTATGGACAGAAATAGTGTTTCGGGACACTTTCGAGCGTTTTTTTCTAACTTTTATTCGAGACTGTGCATCTTGGGTTTTTTGTATATCAATGCTATCTAGCTACAATTCAACGATTACTTCTCTCACTATCCTCTTGTGACACGTAACTATGCCAATAACCCATACAAGTAGCTATACTGCCGTTTTAGAATATTTTCCCTCGATACTTGCATCTCTCCAAAGTCATAATATAACGTCATATTTTAATTATAACTTCATTCAACAATATTTTAAAAGTTAAAAATGAAAGGCCAAATTAAAAAGTGTTTAATTTACCCTTTCATGAGTGTGAATGCGATGCTATTAACGGATCGGTAGTGCACTAAATTATTGCAATTTTACATAACTAAAACTGTGATGCAGTCTTTAGCACTTTTTATCATTTTGCGGTAGTCATGGAAACAACGAGTGCATAATGTGGAATTAGGTTTATAACTCGGCCTGTGGATCTAGTCAAGATGCCTTAACAGTAGTGTAGTGTAGAAAGTCAAAAACTAAATTTGTATGAAAACTTTTCGACACGAACTGTCATTTCCATACAAATTAGTTTTCGACTTTTTAAACACTCCACTAAAACCCCTGGTTTAGATTACTTTGTAGAATGTCATGGCTATATGAACTAAAGACCTTTGCCTTTCTCATTAGGGATAAATTAATATAATCAAGCTGTCACTGTCAAGTGTCAATTTCAGAAGACTGATAAGCAAATCTAATTTGGTTTTATTTGTTTATTACATTTTATTTATATAATTAATCAAAAAACAATGCTGAGACTATATATAATAATATAGTTTCAACTTACCGGGGAAAGCGTCGGAATGTTTTGTAGCATGTTTTAAATTATTACTTTCGTAATTACAAAGTGCTAATCGTATATAAATTTTTTCATCATGTATGCAGTGGAGAAAAAGTATGAAATAGAAATGAAATTGAAGAAGGTAAGTTGACACCAAAGTGACATTTTTGAATTAGTAATTGTGGTAACTCTTGGTACAGAAGATCTTATACTATAAGTTGTAAAAGGAGGCGTGTCCTTGTTTAACAGGAGATGATGAACATGCAAGAGCTTAAGGCTGCTGCTAATCGCAGTATGTCGATTGCAAATGATGTGTGTAATGTACTAGGTGCTTGCGAACAAAGACTTCAACAGCTTGAAAAAGCAGTTTTACCACTGTATGGAGATACGGCACGACTTCAGCACATACATCAAAGTGAGTAGTTGATTGTTGCAATCTCAGAAAAAAATTGATTATTGTGTATTTAAAATTTCAGATATTTTTTGGAATGTAAAATTTAAACCTGCTTAAAATAATGAATATATCACCAGGTGAAGAAATTTAGGAAGATGTCTTTGAGTAAGGCTTTTAATTAGAAATAGGTTGACTTACCAGAAATTGATTACAATTTGGTAACATAAAAGAAAACATAGAGATATTATAGGCTACAGTTTAACAATTATAGTGTTCTGTCTGCTAGAATGTATTTATATTTGTTAAGATTTAATATTCATATTAAATTCTAGACATGGAGCGCACAGTAAAATCTTTGGAACATGTAATAAACTACTACATGGTGTCTAGAGAATTAGCTGATCTTATCCAGAATGGTCCTCATACTTCTACCACAGAAGCTCTTAATATTTACTTAGAGGTGATATTTACATTATTAAAATTAGTCCATAGCCATATTTCATAATTGTATGTTTACAAAACTTGTGTAACTGTCTACAGAGACATGGAGCAAATTACCTTTTTATACTTTCTTTTTGTCATTGGTGAAGAGATCAGCTTTCTTCCTGCCTAAGACGATTTATTTCTTTTCTGACATAAAAGAAAGCATTTGTATTACTAATGCAAAAGCACTGTTATATTTTTCTAGTGACATTAAAATCCTAAGATTTCTGTCATTAATTTCATTGAACATTTCTCTTTGAACTTTTTCTCTTTTCAAGATTGTAATCAGCTATCAGTCCCAGACAAATGTTAATTTTTTGATTTTAAGTGTTTTTTCGTAAGTTAATTGCATATAAAGCAAGAAATTTCCATTGATGAACAGATAAGAATATCTTGCATAACCACTAGATGAACATAATACACATTATCAAAAATATAATAGACAATAATTATGTTTATTTTGGGTTTTAAGGCACTGGATAAACTAGCAGAGGCTCAAAATTATTTCAATAAAAATAATCCACAAAGTGTTGAACTTGAAAATATTGTAAGTATACAAGTTTTTAATGGTTTTTTAAAGGTACATTATTCATAACATTACATTGGTGTATGTCTCTTGCAAGGGTCAAAAGGGGTTCATTGTATTTTTCTTTTGAGCTTATATAATATTAAGAAAATTAAAAATAAAAAGCTATTAAATATAAAAAAAAAGTCCTACAATATTATAATATAATCTTGACTTTTGATGATTTTAGAACCAACTATATAATACTGGGGTGCTTAAATTGGAATCGTCATTTGAGGAGCTTCTCAGTCGCAACACAAGACCTCTATCTCCAACAACACTCATGGATATGATAGCTCTTGAGGAAGGTAGTATAAATAGATATTTACATAAATTAAAAACAATATCTTGTAGTCAGACATATGTTATATATATGAAAAGTATTTATAACCATTGCTTTATTTATGAGCTTACACACATTTGTGTTACTGCGAGTCACCTCCGTAGCCTTGCCTTGCCGTAACATTTAATCATGGGTATGTATCTGTGATTGGTCCATAAAAATCACCATTAAGCCTGTTGTTTATTTCTTTTTATGTTTTAAAATTTTAGATTCAAGTGTAGACAGTATATCAGTGAGTGGCAGTAACTCAACAACTGTGACTAGCGTTGAAACTATGCGGGCTGCTGCTGCATGGCTCAGTGCAGCTGGTCGGCCTCCATCTGGGCCCTTGCTCGCTATCAGGGCACCAGCTGCTAAGAACTCACTTGTGGCTTTCAAAGACTATTTGAGATCTAGATCTATGGCTGGTTCTCCATTAATGGTAAGTTTAATTTTAAAATATTTGTTTGTTTATGGATTTTATGGCGTCTAACAGAAAATAAATATTTAATGAAAAAGTAACATTTTTGAGAGACAGAAAAACAATCAATAAACACTTTGCTGTTTGTGTATTACAATGAATTAACCCATTCGTTTGAAATCAAATTGAAATCGTGATAACAGCATAATGAGATTAATAAGATACTAATTAAATAATATGTATAGCCACAAATGGATGAAATACCACATTTTTTTTCAGAGAAGCAAAAATTTGTTAAATCGTGCTGATAGTACATCAAGAAGGACAAGTAAAATACAGAAAGTGTAAGTTTTTTTTTAAATTTAATAAGTTGATTTTGTAGTTTGTTATATCGTACTTAAAAAAATAACTAATTTCCATAATTTTAATTATTAAAAGTGATAGGTTTTTTTATTAAGCTATTGCATAGATATAGCGCATAGATAGAGCGGGACAGAACGCATAATGCGTCTCACATCGGTCTGGCGTGATCGGTGACCGCGACCGGTGCAGCCGGTACGCGTTAGAGTGAGACAGACTATATAGGCGTGTTAGTCTGAGTCTGATAGATTGAATTAATATCAAAGAAAACAAAATACTGCATACATAAAAAATAAATAAATAATTATAATTGCATAAGTTGATAAAAAATGCTTTACCGCGGCAGCCCCGAGTGCCACACGTTTTTTTTAAATATATAGTACTATCTGTTTTTGAAATATAAATTCTATATAAGGTGTATTATTTATCGGTTTAATTTTTCAGTTTAGAAAAGCGTGCAATAAACATAATGATGAAAGCCTCACAAACACTGGAGCAGTCCACGGGATTGGCCATTGGACCTAGGAGATCAATCAATGATGCTTGTGAGATATCATTCTACACTTATATTATAAATAGGAAGAATTTCATTGATTGTTTGTTTGCATGGTTTCAAAACATCTGGACCGATTTGAATAACCCATCCGAATTATATATTATCATTGATGAACATACGTAGGCTATAGAATATTTTAAAAGAGTTAGAAATTCGTATGAAAACTTTGATATATGAATAAAAGTCCCTATATCGGGAATGCTGCATACTATTGAAAATATAGCAGTGATGTGCAAGTCCGCGATACTTATGTCTAACTATTACATATAAATAACCAGTCGAGCGAAGCCGCTAACGCCTGAACGCTAGCATTTTTTAATCTCTTTTTAATGAGATAATTATTAATGATGATATGAGATATAATAATAAATAATAATGAACGAAAAAAGATATCACGAAAAGAAAAGATTTCTCTATCTATCTCTAACTTTTTAAGATACCATGTGATTCATAAAGTGAATACTAGTACTAATTCACTGTGAAACGATGTAAGAATACATGTAGTTTTTTTAATAGATAATTCATCTTTAAGGCATTTTATAACCAAAAATAATATTCACCATATTCGCTTTTTTCATTTCTTAGTAAATTGAAAGAGGCAACGTGGCGCCCGATTACATGTATTCAGTATAAAGGTTTTGAAAGACTATCCGCAATCTGACTCATTCCATCACAGTGTAAACACAATTTGACAGAAGGGGACGAAATACTGATTTAGCTTTTGACTTTATAAATAAATGGGTTGGTTAGGATATTATCACCAATTTGTTCCATGGAGTTAATTCTTACATAGAAATAGATTTGAATAAATATATTTGTGGTAGATATGGAAGAATGTAGCGAAACCTTGGACGAGCGCGAAGTGGAGGCGGCGGGGACGTTGGCAGCGGCCGTGTGTCGTATTGCACGTCGCGAGCAACGACACGCGTTGGGGCTGGTGCCTTTGCCCAGATTGTCCGCGCTGCTCGCTGCCCTGCTCAAGGACTGTTTGGGAATATTAGGTGAGGACTATTTTTATCTATAGAATAATTAACATAAGATATACACATGGTGGAAAGTATTTTTATAAATTATTAGTTATATAATGTTTTGGCAAAATATTGGTTATTTGAAGCGAGTAAGAATGAATGAAGGTTTATAATTCATTCGTTTTATAACAAAAATTATAATAAATAATTATAAGTATTATTTCTGTGCATACGAAAAGAAAAGAACATTACTGAGTATTTTGGCTGTTCTCAGATTAGGGCGTTTTTTACCTAACATCAAAAAAGAAAAAAATACTTGTTATTATTGGAGTTAGATAATATTTGAGTATGTTGTCGTACTTAAATTCAAAGCATGTGTGCTGAATTTCGTATGTATGTATGTTTGTCTACAAATTTCTCGGCAAAGTAATGGAGACTTAGGAAGAGTTCTATTTTAAATAAAATCGGTGTAGGTACTAACTAGCTTAGAGGTCTGGGTAGTTTTTGTGCATTGTAATTTTTTTAATTTATTTTAAATCTCAGTAAAGTTAGACTTGCGTGAAATAACGTATTAGAAATAATGTATCATGTATTTCTATTTTCTAAATAAAATAATTCTTTGGTATAGCAACTGAGGTGGAACGCGCGTGTTCCCGCAGCCGTAAAGCAGCGTCCAGATGTTCCAGCAGTGCTGCTGCCAGCTGGGCCTTATTGGCTCGGTTGCAAAAGTTGCAGCCAGACCTGCAACGAGCTCTGCATCCCGCCCCACCAGCTCCCTATACAGCCTTACTGCAGAATTGTCAGCATCATGTAAGAACTTCTAACTTTTTATAGTGATAGAGAAATACTTAATTACTAGATGAAAATTACATGAAAGTTAAGGAGTAAATATAAATAGCAAAGAGAAGTGGAGGAGAGGTTGTTTAGAAATCCATTAAATTGCTCATATATAAGGCGTTCCAGTACCTTGGTTATCCAAGGCAAAATCGAAATGGGTCGGAAATCTTATCTTACAGGAAAAATTCTTCTGAAGAAATTGAAAAATTAAAAAAACATCTGATAACAGGGATCATAGCACTACCGATCCTAATGTGTGTCTGTGACCAGTTACAACCCATAGTATTAGAAGAAATGGACGGGATACTCTTCTTTTACTCTGATTTTTAATTCCGTAGAATTCTTGACAGCTGTCATTTTTTGACCATGGCATGGCAAACCTTTTTGGCCGGGCACATTTTTCAATTTCAATACGAGTCTGAACATCTGAGTAAATGTGTTATTGACATACATTTAATGTTAGTTAATGTACACATATTAAGTGCGGTGCTCCACATTAAAAGTGTTTTACCGGCGAGTGGTATAGGTCTACCAGAATCTGATGGCATTTTTTTTTTTTTTAAATTAGCGATTTTCATATGGCAATAAAAGAAAAATTTCATCTGTCAACTGAAATTTCGAGGAATTGTTTTTGGTTTGGCTTCAAATTTCCTTTAAAAAGTGATGAAAATGTCGAAGAAACCTCTTCGATCGCAAGCAAGACATATTGTTTTCAATGTTTATCAAAGAATACTTGATCAACAAGATGCAGAACATACACAATCATCGATATTGAGCCATGTGCAAGCGTTGACTGGTTAGTAGGAATGACACGTCTTGATACTTTGGTTTATGGGATTCTTCGTGTGTATTATATTATGTACTTATACTAAATTTTGGTTTATTTCAGGGGTTTCTTATACCACAAATAAACTTGGATAGTTTTGATTTAGAATTGATCAGAAACAAGATAAATGAGTTTTACATTGTTTCTTTCTCTCAAATAGGGATCGATGAATAGCGAAAATCTTGTGAACATGTAATAAAAATTTAAAATAAGTTCATAGAACAAGATCGGTTAATTGAGATGCAGGAGGAAAGGTTTATTATAAATACTGCGTTGAAGACTTTTTTTATGGATGTGCAGTATTTGGAACCATTTTAAAGTTCTTAATTAATTAATAAACTCATGAACAGAGTAATTGGAGTTTTCATCTAAATTTCAAACCCCACATTCGCCACATTTTCAAAAATTATCATTGGATAAATTTTTATATATTTTGCATATATCACACACAGAATCAGCCGCTATAAGGAAAAAAAAGTATCAAAACGTTTTACTCCAATTTCCCCAGTATTGCTAGCGTCAATTTCTTTTTTCCCTTTTTGCCATCAGATCCTGGTAGACCTATAATTACGCTACTTTTCATCACAAACAGTAAAAAACGCACAAGTAAAGATAACACTTTATATTTTTTTAAAGGTTTACTAAACTTGGAATTAGTAGGCAGTGATGCCAACTAAAGAATTTAAAGTTAATTCGATATATTGTTCGTGATATTGAAATATTTGTTATTTTTGTATTAGGTCACTTGAGTAAGTAAATATTAAGATTTACCTTTTTGTAGGTAAAACATAAAAAATACGTAGCATTTTTTTTATCGCCCTCAAATAAGTCAAATTTGTCCCTTTTTCGGCAGAGATTTTTTTTAGTAGCAACACTCATGAAATGTCAAAATTCTACGGAATTAAAAATCAGAGTATAGAACTCGCTTTTCTCCACTTATACGTAGTGTTTTTAATTTCTTATTTATTGTATTCAGTGTATCCGTTCCTTGGAAGAGTGGGTAGAGGGTGTTCGCAATGATAGTGCGTCTGGGGCAGTGGATGGGACAGTGCATCAGTTGCCCGTTGCAGCCCTAGCCTATTGCCAGGCCCTTGCTGCCCATCTACAAGTCATTGGTATGAGTTTTATTCTAGCTGATTTTAGTTTAAATTGACTAATTTTATGTTAAATTAACCTTAAAAACTAAATCAGTTTTAAATTATTCTGAATTAATAAATAATTGTATAGTATATTAAAACCCCGCTTCCGTATGTCCCGTATAGAGCTGACGTCTCTATCTATCTCTATCTCCGACAAATGACGATTTTCATCTAAGGTATATCTCCTTTCTAACGTTATTTTCCTCTACCGTACTATTATTTATTAATTGCCTCCATACAAATAAAAATTTCTACGGCAGGAATTCGAAAGCACGAACGACCGAAGATTAAAAATAGACTTAAATTGGTGTACCATAAAAAGTTGAAGTAGCTGGTACTCGTACTAACTACCCATTCGCCGCAATTTGATTAAAATAGACTCCAGTTTTATATAATCGCTCAATAAATAAACTTTTATTTCTTTAGGCCCAGCCCTAAATGCAGAACCGACGTACGCGCGCGCTGCCTCTCAAATCGCCGGCGTACAGGATAGAAACGCACTTATGCTGTCTATATACTTCCGTAAGTATATTTTCATATATAAATAGATTTTAGTATTCAATGCGATATTATAATTTCATTCGATATACATTTACAGTTAACAAAATAATCACGCATTTAATGTATCGAAACATTATTCTACTATTACGTCATTTAGAAAATCTATGAAGGTATTTGGACCAAAGAGGTTTCCTTTAAACAACCTTTTTAAGCGTATTGATCGTATAGCTTGAGATTAGTGTAATGAAAATTTTGTCTTTTATTGAAATAACTTTTCTTTTCAATCGGGTAAAAAAAAGTGTTTTCTTTAAATATGATAAATTGGTTAAATTAATTGTAGTGGTGCGTTGCGTGGGAGAGTTTTAATTTACGTACGTATTCACAAAACAAATGACATTCTAATATCATGTTTGGTCATCATTTTTGGTTTATGCAAGTAAACCTTTAAATAAAACATCTTTAACGGATATAATCGCGAAATAATTATATTATTTGTATAACTAGACGTTTCTTATATTTAGTCTCTTTGACCACGATTACTGAAAAAGAACTCGAAGCATAATTGTAATGTAAATAATTAAAAAAACAATTATATCCGTTAAAGACGTTCTATATAAGTAAATAAAGATGTTTTTTTTAAATCGCAAAACTGTTTGAATCATCAAATGAAATGAATGTACACAGGTAAGGTGCTAGCGCAGCTGAACTTGTCCCTGCGCAACAAAGGCGAGCAGTACCCGGACGCATTGAAAGCTATATTCCTTTTGAACAACACCTTATATTTGTTACAGGTATTTTTATTAAAGATTATTAGTTTGTCTCAAATTAAAATAAGATAAATTCATGACATTATTGATTTTACGAACCGGCATCGATTTATATTTTGAATAGGAGTGTTCATAAAAGTAATCAGTTTAATCTAGGCCATATGGCAGAATTGAGAGAACAAAATTATAAGAAATCAATTATTTATAAAAAAATATGATTTTTGTACGTCAGTAGACCAGTACGTATACTAACGTACGTTTTAGGCGAATTAACTATATCGTAGCAAGCTTGTAAATAATGATTTCGTCTATTCAATCCTAATTCTGTCTTGTAGTTTAATTTATTTTGAACGAAACATGTGTATGTGTGTATTTTAACACAAATCGCAAATTGTTTACGTGTTTACAAGCATGGTACGTCACATCTGGTAAGACGCTATCTTGCCTGTTGTTTTTAAAGTCAATACTTTTCAAAGGTCTTTTTACCTAAAGTACTGTTTTGTCTAATTGTATTTAAGGTGTTAAACAATCTTATACATATTTTTTAATATTGATAATATAAATAAATAGTTGCGATGAAATAATAAGATTGAAGTAGGAAATTGCTAGCCTTCTGGCATAGTTAATTCAGCCACTCAACATCAGATGAGTCTAAATTTCAGTATAATATTAAATTTAAACCATGTTTACGTGTTGCATATTTAGGGTCTCCAACGGAGCGGTCTTTTGGACATGTTGGCATTGTCTGAACCGGACTGTGAGGCCGGATACCGACGTATGATCAACGATTATAAGAATACTTATCTGCAAAGGTATATTTTTTATTATCTATAGAACTTCTATTGTATGTTTTATCTGTGGAAAAATAAGAATGTACATACCATTTATTCGGAGTTGATTCAAAGTGCAACAGGCCATGGAAAACTTTTATGCACATATGTATTTAAGAAATTACTATAACGATAAATTTAATAGATAATTAAACGAATTTAAACGTTTTAAACAAAAACTGCCAGTTTGACATTGTAATATTCTGTTATTGTTAGGATAGATCATAGAGTTATATAGTCTGTGTGGGTAACTAACCGTGGGATTTGAGGTCGCTGCAGTGCTAACCCTTTGAAGTGAAACTTATTTAGACGCATGAGGGTAAAATTTTAACGGACAAACAAGTTTCCCTTCTGACATGTGTACTTTGTACGCACGCACATTTTTTTTGTTATGGCAACACGTCATTATAGTTTGACTAATCATCTTGATACTTAAAATACTTATAATTTTTGTGAATAAATTAAGTTAATTTCAAGAATATTAGTTTGGATGATCGCCACGTCGTTTCCCTTTCCGCACAGTTTCTAGAGGAAATTATTTGAAATATGAACATTCATAAAAACATAATTTAAATGAAACTATTATTAGACGTCTGTTTCATTTTCCCCATTAAATACAATTTTAGAGGGGTTAATGATGACAGAATATGATACCATCTGTGGGTTTTTAACCAAAACCGGTTTGGTATATATTCTATGTTCTGTATTTTAGCTGGAACAAGCTGCTATCGTCCATAACTCTGGATGAACCGTTGCCAGCTAAATTACGAGACAAAGACAGACAGCTACTGAAAGATAAGTTTTCGGTAAGTCCTTTTATGTAAATTTAAGCTATGATAATATACTGTACGGCCTATTCTCATAAATAATTATAAAATTCGGTTAAGCCGTTTGGGAGGAGATCGTCCACCAATCGATACGAGGGTTATCTTTATGTTTAGTAAAAATGTATCAGATATGAAAGTTGACAAAGTTTATTTAAAACTGTTCCTTGGTAATTTCATCTTCGTTTCTAAGGAATTTTATTTTAAATAATTGTAGTAAACAATGGTAGTTTTTGAAACTAGTTTTTATGTATTTTGAGTATTTTCTGTGTCATATTTTAAATATTAGTTAATTTTTATTTACAGATATTACTTAAATATTATTTTACTTGTATTTATTTTAACATATGTTTTGCTTTAGATTTTTATTATTTTAACTAATTAATATTTCATTTTTTTGTACCTCGGACGAGTCTGTTCATCCACAAAAGTTTAACTTAACAGGAATGGTTGTAAACTAAATTAACTAATATATATATATAACTAATTTAGTAAGTGTTTTTCAGTCGTTTAACCGCGAATGGGATGAAACAACGCGTGCTCAGCGGGGCTACAGCGTCCCGGACGTAGAATTACGCGAATCATTGAAAAGGGATAACAAGGCGGCGTTATTACCGCCCTATACTGCCTTCTATCAGGCGCACGCGCATCTGCCATTCTCTAAAAACCCCGACAAGTACGTTAAGTACTCACCAATGCAGGTAAGTTTTTTTTAATCAATATTTGTATATATGTATGTATTATAATGTATAAAACACACACACACATTCCCACACACATCTTAACCAATAAATTATTAGTAAATTGTCTTTGTTATTACAAAATGTTCTTCGTAGGTGTAATTCGTTTTGGCTATATTTTTATTTTAATTTTTTTCATTGTTAATGTGTGTTTTAAAAACAAAGCGGGGATTATCAATAAAAAAATTAATAAATAAAAACCGCAAAATCAGCAATATTAATAATCATTATGTCATAATAATAACAGTTATTTATAATTTTTGTCAAAGCGTATGATTTAAAAACTCACATTATAAAGGCATTTCGCCTTTAATCTAATCCCCTTCCCCATGAAAGCATTACATAGCAGTGGTCTGTAACTTCTGGAATGGTTATTTAATAGTGTTTGTTTTAAGCGGGTTAACTGAAATGGGAATAAATTTCCATTTCTAATAATTTTTCTAAGGGCATATATGTAAAAAGTCAACTAATTTCTAAAAAAAAAACTTGTATTTTACAGATTTCGACGCAACTAGATGGCTATTTCGATGAAGCCGCTTAGCTCAATCGACGTTGGAGATTCGTTTAAGAAACGAATCGTTAAAAGCTGTGTATACTATTGTTTAGTCAATATCGTGCTACATAACAATGTTTAAGCATATTTATTATTTATGAATATATAGTGGCCTTATCACGTGTTTTTTATTTATTAAATATATTGCTGATATACATAGTGTGTGTAAGCACGATTTCATAGGATCGTATTTCATATATTAATTTATCAAATAAAAAAAATTGGAATGGGAACAAAAACCCAGATATTAAATTTGCATATGATAATAATTCTTAACATTTCTACTTGGATTAGATGCAATATACATCAATCAAATGAAAAGAATGTGTGTTTTTTTGTTGAACAAACCAATAAAAAATAGATTAAATACATTTAATGTATTAGTTTAAGTGTGTATGTGGGGAATGCTCATGATGCAGGTTATATAGCGCTATGGATGATCTGAAAAGATCAGCTGGCAAAAACTGGCACTCCATAGCACAGGACCGACAACAATGGGCATCTTTGGAGGAGGCCTTTACCCAAACCGGGGTTCCTGTTAAATAAATAATATATATTACTAACATAATTTAAGCTAACCTACTAACAAAATCAATATTTTTGGTTACTTTAATATAACAACTACCAACTATTGTAAAACAGAAAATAAAAGGCTTATTATTATTATTTATGGATAATTTTAATGAAATGAATACTTGAACGCTCCCTTACCGTATTGTAACCATACAATATTTTTGTTAATAACAGGCTCTTGCAGCTGTCAGATGCTACGGATGAGATATGGTGTAATAAAAGCACAAAATATTGACAATAAGACAATTTATTTTTCAGTTTTGTGATTTATACAAATAATACAATTAAAGACTAACCTGCTTAATCTTATATCTGTCTAATTATGATTACGCTATAATGTTAAATTAGAGTGATTTACTTTGTATGAATAAGAGGGCCAATTTATGTTTACTATACAAAAAAAAAACTAAAGAATGTCAGTCTTGGATTTTCTTCTTTCTTGCCCTCAAAGGTGCTGGCCACTGCAACAAGGTTTTCATTGACAACTAACGTAAATCCAAAATAAATCCGGGCGCAAGAGAACACTGTTGAAACATATAGTAATTTCTCAACAGCGTCTAAACCTGGACTGTCTAGATCACACAATCGCTGAACTGATTAATACTAATATACATTTTTCAAAAATGCATACTTCTTACCCTGGTAAAGAAATAAAAACAAATTAGTACCTTTTTTAATTCACTAACAATAAAAATAATCGCTAGAGTATCAGGATTATGAGATCATTCACCTCTAGGTTAATGACCTTGAATGAGCTTACCTGACCTCTCAGCTGCTTGTATTAGGAATCGTTTGTAAATCGAAAATTAGAAATGTTTATAAAAAATTTCGCTTTACATTTATACAAATGTATAGTTTTTGGCTTTATAGAAACGTAGATAAAAAATAATAAAATGTCAATGGCAAAAGGATAAAATAATATAACATATATATTATAACATTTCAAATTTATTTAAACAAGCATTTCCACTACTTGCAACTGAAATTAATCCAACACCAAGAAGGGAATCCTACGCAACTATTGATTTAATTGAAATCGCTTTAGTACATTTGTAAGCCGCAAATGTACTAAAGCGATAACTTTGCGATGGATTACATACAACATTTAAACATCAAAAATTAAATGAAAGTTGTAATTTTGAAACATACTGACAAATTTGTTTTGTTTGCACTCTTTGCCTGCGACTTCATTTGCACGTATTTATGCACGCGACTTGGTTTGCTCATTGCAAAATTGATTAAATTTAGCTCAAAATGTTGAGAACTAATTTGTTATTTACTTTGATTATCAGTAATTACCTAAAGACGATTTGCACTAATTGAAGTTATACTTCTTTTGGCGTGTTAGGGAAAAATTATGAGAGTAAATTTTTACGATGCGCGCGCACACAGTCACAAAAAACCGACACCCTGAAGTTAGCTGTCAACATTTTAGGTTTTTCTATAGTTAGTGTCGTTTTTTCTACAAACGTAGAATAAAAATTTTGAAAACATTTTTATCATCACGCCAAAGAAGTATAACTTCTAACGCGTGTTTATTAGTACACACACTTTTTTTTAATGAAAAATGTATTACTTACAGAATGCAAATCTTCTTTAGCTGGTTGGTTCGATAGTTTCCAAGCAAAATCACGTTCAATAGTCTTACGTCAACGTCAGTTTTATCGATGTAATTAAGGTCGAAACTTTACCAATACCCTTATCGACAAACTGGGACATCACTAAGTGGACTCGATATACCTCCTAACGATTAGTGGCGCCCTCTCCTGCGTTTGCGGCCTCGTTCTGCTGAGCTCTAACGAACAGATTTGTTTCATCGTCATTATCGTTAAATTACTACTGGCATACGATATTATATTTTTCAAATATTAAATACATTTTCGAAAACACGATATGACACAAAGTAAGATAGCACGATATATATTTTTTTAATAATTTTTTTATAATAAAAAAAAATGTAAGTATATAATTTTAACCATACGAAAGTATTTCACATAATATCGTAAGCACAATGCCCTGGGAACATTCAAATTATCAACGAATAAATTATGATTTGACGATCTTAAGAATTATACTATTTAGAACTTTTAAAATACTAGCGATTTTATTCGCTGTATACATCTTTTTGCTTTAAATTTACAATTATTAAACATAATTTTAAATTTAACCGACGTTTCGCATGCTTTACAGCGTGCGTGGTCACGGTGACTGAAGACAAAAGGTGTTGGATGGTCAAAATGTATCACAGCTGTAGAAAAAAGTTGCATTATCTGTATTTATTTCCCCGGAGTTGATATCGACTTAGTCACCGTGACCACGCACGCTGTAAAGCACGCGAAACGTCGGTTAAATTCAAAATTATGTTAAATAATTGTAAATTTATAATAATACATAACTTTAATCCGGTTAAAAAGTTTTATCTTTTTGCTTTTCGGACAAACCCTTAATTATAAACCCTTAAATTCAGAGACAAGATTGAACGCTAAGTGTGGCTCTCGTGTGTCAAAAACGTATAGAATTTTGACATAAGTGAGCAATATTCGCGCTAAGTCGTGTGACTCTGAATAGACACTAAAACAAAGATATTTTACAAACCTAACTTCCCAGATATTGTATGGAAATAGTAATGTGACAAGTATGTGGTCTTGAACTTATGGTTTTAATTAAGGAAAATCTGTTTGAACTTTGAAGTGTGTTTTATAGAAAAGAAAGCTAAAATAAGATATGGTTTGGAAAAATGGCATGATTTTAAATGATTCGCAAACAGCAAACATATCGAGCCCCCTAAATTGGGGTTTGAATTGTCATTTTACCTTCGTAAAGCTAAGCTTTTAAGCTTTTAGGAGAACGAAAAAGTTATAAAGAGTTAATGTAATGACTTAATTTTCTAATTATAATTTGTTTTTGCTTTATGACGTCAAACTCAAATTTAGGTTGAAGATATGTTAAAATTTTAATTAAACTAGGCGCTTAAGCCCTCAAGTCAACTTGAGATACGTTTTGAAATATTTCCCTAATATTTCAGTTTCAAGAGAAATTGTATTGATGAACAATTTTAATATAAAAAACGGCAATAAGCCTCTTTACCACTATTCTCTACATATTATAAACAATTCTATAATTTTAATATTTCGCTAGAATAAAATCTTATCTAAAAATTTTTTAGATAATGATATTAAATTTTACAGATGTTTCTGAACAATTTGGCTTACCTTGATAGCCTGAGGTGGGGTTTTGTTCTTAGCTGGCGCCTTGCGTGGCTGCTTTGGAAGCTGGTCTTCATATGGTGTGAATGCACAAGGCAGAATTCTACGATGTCTAAAAACGTATTTTAACTTTGATACTTTATAAACTGATATTAAATTGATATATAACTTATACAACTTATTAACTTAACTTTATTGTTAATGGATATAAACCCTTAACTAACTAATTATCATTTAAGTGATTTACTGTAAAGTCACTATTAAATGATCTGAAATGGTCTTATTAAATGACTCATTGTTGCAAAGCATTCCAAACATCGAGTTACGTATTTAGGCACGCAATTTCATTTAATAAATAATTTTTATTAAAATATATTTGGTCACGCTTATGTATTTCTAAAATGGGTTGACAGATAAGGAACAAATATTCAATAGACAATAATTATAGTGAATAAGTGGTTCAAGCATTTGATTGTGTCCAACACGAGACCTTAATCGAAACTCCCCACTATGCATCAAAATACCCACTGAATCTTCCGACTTCCTATTTACACGGAAAACTCAGAAGGTTGAAGTGAATGGTAAGAGGTCCTCTGTCGGCAGTAGATATGGGGTACCCAGGCTCAATTCTCCCTTTCCTCTTTCTTGTTTATATAAATATCTACCTTTCATGGTAGAGAGAAAAATCAGATAGTTTTGTTTGCTGATGACACTCCTTATTTTTAAATCAAACACAAATACAAATTTTGACGATGTGAACAATGCTCTGTTTCGATTGTCCATTGGTTTTAGTATGAATAACCTTCTACTTAATGCAAAAAGACAAAATCATTAAATTTTGTGCAAAAATCAAGGGTTATGGATACTAGACCAATTATAAACGGTAAATTAATCTATGATACAACTGTATTTTCGGAATCACCATATTCAAAACTTCAGTGGTCCCCTCATATTAACGGATTGGCGAAGAGACTTAGTTCTCACCTAGCGGTTAAAAAAATTCGCTCACTAACTGATGTCGATACACTAGACTTGTTTATTTTAGTTACTTTCATAGCTTAATGACTTATGGCTTGTTATTATGGGGTCATCTGCTGATGTCGAAACTATTTTCATCCTCAGAAGAGGGCTATTCGTGCAATCTATAATTTAAAATGTAGGGAATCTCTTAGAGATAAATTCAAGGATATTAATATACTTACCTTTCCCTCGCAATATATTTATGAAAATATTATGTATGTATACACAAATAGTGATAAGTTTACTAGAATAGAACATACGCACAATGTTAATACACGGAACAAACGCAGGCTGCAATTTCCCCGTACTAGACTATCTAAAGTTAGTAATTCTTTTTTGGGGAAAGGGATACTCTTCTTTAATAAAATCCCAGAGGCTCTTTTATCACTGCCTTTCAATAAATTTAAGAAATGTATTAAAGAAAAGCTGTGTAAAAAGGCTTACTATAAAGTCAACGATTATCTAGTTGATAAAAGGGCCTGGGACTAGTGCTAGACAGGCTACTTCTAATCAATTTGCGATATTTGTTTTAAATAAGTGTTGTTTGATGATTAGCTGTTTTAAAAGAGTACCGAGAGTTTTTTACGCCGGCTTTTTCTCTCGGCCTACACCCTCTGTCTTCTTTGCCGATGAGTAGGGATGCCTTCAAATTTAATGACGTGGAATAAGTGATACATGTATCTTATGTTCCATAATAAACATATTTTATTTTATTTTTTATTTTATTTTCAAAAGAGTGTGATAGGTTCAAAAATTAAAGAAAGCATAAAGTGAGCGACATCATATAATTATTATTATTTTCTCATTAATAATATAAAAATTTGGAAAGTAGGAGGCTAAATGAAGAAGACACATGACAACTCTAGCGCCAGTACAACGCTAAATTTTGTACCATTATTAAAAACCCATATAATTAATATTTACTTTACACCATATATTATTAAATAATCTTATTTCAGTCTCAGTAAAGAAATAATACATACTTATGTATAGGCAACAAGTCGTCGCAGAGCGTCGGTGGTACTTTAACGTCAGCAGACTGATCGGCCGGCGCAGGCGCATTCACATCTAAGTTTAGTACCAACGAATCCGCATTCGACTTGCCGGGTCGGTATAACATTGCGTTCGTTCCGTGGCTCGGCTAAAATTTAAAAAGGGCATTATAAATGAAATTTAAATGGAAAAAGGCCTCCGTACAGTTTCATAAAAAGTTCATCTTTTCATCAGATATAATTACGCAACGAACTTAGTTATGTATGATTTTTATATACAGGTGAGCAGTAATAAAAATACAATAACAATTGTATAATTGTACACTTCCAATTTTAGTTTTTAATTGTATTTTTTTGCTTTTAGCAGATTAGGTACCTGATTCAAGGAAGAGTAGGTTTGATATTGATATATCCCCCGGCAGTGCACCAATGGTCTTTCTTTCTATGTGCGCATTTAACATTCGCTCGAACGGTGAAGGAAAACATTGTGAGGAAACCAACATGTCTTAGACCCAAAAAGTCGACGGCGTGTGTAAGGCACTGGTGGCTGATCACCTACTTGCCTATTACATTGAAAAATTATCATGAAACAGATTCAGAAATCTGAGGCCAAGACCTAAAGAGGTTGTAGCGCCACTGATTTTTTTTATTTGTTAAAGTAGTATTCCTTGCACGACAAGTTACTATTTAAAAAAAATGTGATTTAAATAAATAAATTACGTTCTTATTTGTGAAATGTTTTTTTAATATCTGATTTACTTACATCATGTTGAAGTATATAATTGCCGGGTAATAGTCCCTGGAGTTGGTTCAATGTGGTGTGTAAAACGTCAGCTATATGTGGCAACATTTCGCCATGTTTCTCGCTCCACTCTGTGGAACTCAATTTCTCCATTGTCACTACTTCACCTGACGAACCGTCTATTCGAACTGAAATTTGTTTAATTTAAATTTCAGATTTCATCTAGAAATTTCGTGAACATGTTTCAAATTTTTGGGATACAAAATCTGTTCGCATTATGACCATTCTAATAAGGAATTTTTTTCTTGAAGGAAACTCCATGTTTTTAACAAAGTACAAAAAATATACCGCGTGATCAATCGTAATCGTAAAACATTTATTTAATTAAGAATACTAAAGCCGAACATGCAAAGCCATCAAAACGTCATATGGACTTAATTATCTGCTTAAATAAATAAATATTATTATTAAAACAATAAAGCCAATATAAAAATAGGGTAATTATTATAAAATATTGTAAAATCGCATATATATAGGTATTTTATCGCATATGCCTCTCGACTCACCTTTAAGAAGACTTGCTTTCCGTCTTAAGTGAAGCGAGAGAGCAAGAGCGGCGATCTTATGGCGCGAGAGCGAGACAGCACCACACTCAAGTTGATACTCGGGTATCGGCTCCAGTACTATTTCTCCTGTGCCGTGCTGCAATAATTTACGCAGATTTCATCCATAATTATAAATGTTTACCACGAATTACTGTAATAATTGTATTAAAACTAGTATTAAACAAATTTTGTGTAATGATTTAGTAGGGAATGCGAGTAATGTAGGGACCGCAAGCGTACCGCACGTATCGAGTAAGAATAATATTTTTAGTTTTTTAATTAATATTTATCTAAAAATTAAAATATAGTACTGCCTTGCGATTCTGTAACTCACTTTTCGAACTCACACAGCGAAAAGTGAGTTACAGCATCGCAAGGCTGTACATACATGCGTATTATTTGTTAAGTATGAAATCAAGCTTTATAGTTTTATAATGTTTAAATTTTATTCCAAAAGAGCTATTTTTATTTACGAACTTTAAAAGTTCTTATACCGTCTATTATGACATAGTAATATATTAGAATATCTTCTAAAATTAATCAAATTCAAATCAGCAGTTCAGACAACAGTTTATTTTAATGCAAACTTACTCTAACGCGATGTTCGCAGTGGACTATAATATCATGTCGTTCACCCGTGACTTTATTGCGTACGCGCCATTTCTTGTACGAGCGCGGAGGCGGGACTTCGAATATTGTGTCTGTAATAATACAAATAAAAAATCGAATTTCTGCACCTGTAGAAACTCACTGGCCAGTGAAACTTATTTCATAGTTACTAGTATGTAGCAAAAAAAAGAAAAATATTTTTTTTTAATGACTCTGGCACGGTTTGTGCATTAGCCAGCCTCAAGTATAAGTTTTTTATAATTCGTGCTTTTTGCCTTAGAAATTCGACCATGTCCTCCATGTACGGTTTAAGCACTCGCCCGGTACCGCACAACCCTCCCAAAGGCCGAGAACAAATTTAAATTTAAACCTTGCCCTCGAACCGGGAATCGAACCCGGTAAAAAAAAGAAAAGAACTTAAAACTAAAATTTAAAAATGGAATTTAGTATTTATTGTCTAACGAAATTAATGGCCAGTAATTAAAGTCATTCTAAAAGTAGGTAGTAGTATGTTGTTGTAACTATTTTAAGTATTTACCTTTACAAGTGCAAACATATGGTCCTATATTTTTATTATTTGTAGAACTCTTGTCTTTGTTAGCGCTACTTTCCTTCTCATTATTGTCATGAAGTTCCTCAGTCTGTGGCACGACTTCTTGGAAATCGTCACCTGTGATATGAATTTTATTTCATTAAAAAAAATCACATTAATATCTTCAATTATGATTAATGAAATGAACATTAAAATAGTATCCCGCATTTAAAAGTTATTTGATTTTGAATGATTATTCGAGTGAAAATAAAATAATATTTAATCCAAATCTAAGTGTCTCATTCGGTTAATTTTTTTAATAAAACCTTCAACTACCTTAGAAAGGATGACAAAGGCAAGTTTCGTTTTAAAGTAACTAAATTATGTCTATTACTTAAACATACTCAACACATTTTAACTTTCTTCCTTAATGTATACATTTCTAACTACTCTTCAAGAAAATAAATCATACCAGTGTCTATACATAAATTGTCCTCATCGTCACTAGTAGGCTCCAAGTCATCGTGAAGATTCATACTAATGACATTTAACGAGTCCTCCTCTGACAATGCTTGCTGGCTTATTAACCTAGATCTTTCTGATAAACTGGAAGTCATAATAGGAAATTTAATTTGACGACTGTGTTTCAGTTAATTAGACCATTTCGTCATAGTCGTAGAATAGTGACGGATCTGACAAATAGTAAACTTTAGGTATAGGGCAGCCATTTCAAAATAATATAACCATTTTAGTTTTTGTCATAACTATTTTAATACATATTCTGTTATTATGAAAATTGGGACACAAGCAAAAAAATGAGTTTTTTTAAACAAAATAAAAATAATAAGATTAAATTACTTAGTTTTCTAGAAAAATCGCATTTTTCTACCGACTGATTAATTTGAAATTTAAAACACATAGAATTTTTATTTTAATGTGGACGTAATATTTAGGCAATGTAGTATCCAAATATGATAAAAATTGGATTTTGGATTTTTTTCAAATCCGACATTGTTCTACGATCATGACGATTTTATTAAAATTGTCGGGCTTAATAAAATTAATTTTATAGTTTTAGGTTGTTGTCGGATCTTTATCAAGTTTATAATATTAGGTCCTTACATATGAAATTGGCGTATTTCGTACTGGCCACTTTAATCACGATGTTCTCCTCTTTGGTAAGGAATTCCAAATTCAAATTTGTACAGCTATTTACTCATACATTTGTGCTTCGATGACCGTCATTCATTTGTTTTTTTCTTCTGTTTTTTTTCTGTTTGCGTCACTTATTTTACATAATGGAAAACTTAAAGTATCGCATTATTTAAGAGTACGAGTTCCGCCGTGGCACTAGTGCTGCGGAAACGACTCGAAGGGTGAATGATGTGTATGGCGGTCATGTTGCAAAATAAAACACAGTTCGTTTTTGGTTCCAACGTTTTCGTTCTGGAAATTTCGAACTGCAGAACAAGCCCCGTGGACGGCCTGAGACCCAAGTTGATAATGAAGTATTGAAGGCTATTGTGGAAGCGGATCCATCGCAAACCACGTCCGAGTTAGCTGAAGGCTGCGGTGTTAGTGATAAAACTGTTTTAATTCACTTGAAGCAAATTGGGAAGATTAAAAAGCTTGAAAGATGGGTACCTCACGAATTGACTGAAGCAAACCGGCAAACGCGCGTCAACTGCTGTGTTACATTACTGAACCGGCACAATAATGAAGGTATTTTGAATGATGAAAAATGGATTCTTTACGATAATCGGAAGCGCTCAGCGCAATGGTTGGATCCTGGCCAGCCAGCCAAATCCTGCCCCAAGCGAAAATTAACCCCAAAAAAGTTACTTGTAAGCGTTTGGTGGACTAGTGCCGGTATTGTTCATTGCAGTTTTCTCAAAATTGGCCAGACTATTACGGCTGATGTCTATTGTCAGCAATTGCAAACCATGATGGAAAAGCTAGCGGCTAAACAACCTAGGCTGTTCAATCGCTCCACGCCACTGCTACTTCACGACAACGCTAGACCACACACTGAACAACAGACGGCTATCAAATTAGAAGAGCTTCAATTGGAATGTCTAAGACATCCTCCGTACTCCCCGGACCTTGCACCAACAGATTACAATTTTTTTCGACAACTTCTTGCAAGGGAAAAAAATTAACTCTGATGGGGCAGTCCAAATCGCCTTCACAGATTTTATTGATTCCCGTCCGACTGTTTTTTTTAGTAAAGGGATCAATGCCTATGAGATGGCAAAAGTGCATAGAAAACAATGGTTCATACTTTGATTAATTAAATATATTATATTTAAAAATATTCGACTTTTTGTTCCTCCCATACAAAACGCCAATTTCATATGTAAGGACCTAATATAAGCTTTGACGATAAATTATTTTTTTAACAGATATTAGTGCGATTTATAAAATGATTTATATAGTCTGTGCTTGTCAATTTTAATTTAATCCGTGCGTAGGTATGTTGGATATTCAATAAGACAAATAAAAAAAGGATGGTGTGGTTTTATGAAACCACGGTAAAAGTGAAACTTTTTTTCACATTATAGACTAAACATTTTTGGAATAATATTTTATACTTGGAAAATTGGAATGACAATGGGAAATAATAAAAGTAGACTAAGTCTCCAACTAATATTTTTTATTGAACTCTGTGTCTTAGAGAGTACGCCATACATAATACTTAACAATTATTTAGATTATATACACATATTAATAACAATTATTTAGATTATATAAACATATTAAACACTACACGGTCAGCTGCTGCGAACTATGGGCGCCGCCATATTGGCCTTGGCTGCTATGACGAGCGCCTTTCACTTTATCCCTACTCCGCGGCCCACCGTCACGCGACTTGCAACACACAGACGAAAAAGTTTGAGACGATGTAATAAAAGTTTCACTTTAAAAACCCATTTTCTTAAAAAAAAGCCCGACACATTTTTGAATTTGGAACAGTGTAATAATAAGTTAGGTTACTTACGGCACAAGCGCATCTTCAAGTAGATGTTGAAAAGCTTTGTATGTCCGTTGAAGCACTGACTCTTTTTTGATAGAGAACTCGCTGCCTAACACTAGTACATTTGATCGCTCGCCATCTAAAATTGACATCTCATTACGACTTCTGTAAGATTTTGCACACGAATTGAATTCATAGTCATAGAATTGAGCACAGATCACTATAACGACTATTGAATGTTGTAGTGGGAACGGGAAATAGTGACCTCACTATATTTTATTAATTATTATATTATAATAATTCTTATTGACTCCGCGTCATTTTACAGAGAATCTGAAATACAGAGGACTCTACTGGCTGCTTGGCAGAAATTCCAAGCTGTCAGTAGATAATAAGCTACTCATCTACGAAATGGTCTTGAAACCAATTTGGGGTTCAAGGGTTCAAAATTACATCTTGAAACAAATATCCGACTGTCCGTGGTTCATAAAAACATCGGAGATTCATGAGCACCTCAAAATCAGTACTTTTAAAGAGGAGATCAAGACCTGGACTATGAAATACAGAAAAAGGCTAGAAATGCATCCTAATCAGCTTGCCACGCAACTAACCATACCAGATCTATAAATAGGCTTAAAGGCGACAAATCCTAAGTCTTGATAGACACGGTTGACAGAGTGGAGCAGTCTCGATTTTGCTCTGAACGCCTAACAGCTCTCAACACAGCTGCTCATAGTCTATCTGACTGATTGCAAGATAAAGACTTATAAAATATAAAAAAAATTCTTGATTTTGACATAGATAAGTCAAAATAAAAAAAAAACATGACAAAAGTTAAAATTTCACGTAAGGCACATTACATTTGTAAAAAGAACGCATTGTATTCGCATATGTTCGATAAAAAAAGCGTTTTTTACTTACATGAGTCTATAGCTTCACTGACGCAAACAGTTATATACCAAGGCTGATCGATTGTAAGTAGACATTTAAGCGCGCTCTCACTGGCAATGTATTGTGCGCCTTGCTCCAAAGCATATTGAGCTAACTCCCTTTCTATCTCTGTTTTCGGTAGAATTGATACTGACTTTTCGGCTAAAATTATAATTTTTACTTTAATCATATATTTATTATAAATAAAATATATAAAACTATTTATTCCAACTCATCATAGAGGTATAGAATAAAAAAAATGGTGCGTGTACGCGCGTAAGAAGTTATACTTCTTTGGCATTATTAAAAATAGTTTTTGATTGCATGCAAATAATTAATTACAATTAAATAATCAAAGACTGGAAAAGGAGTTATTATAGTCAATAAAGTATACATTTGAAAAATTAAATAAATAAATATTAATATTATATTTATTATTATTTTCTAATAATAATTAGTATTGATTTAAATATTCAATTTAAATCACTTCTGATTATAATTCAAAAAGCATTGCTAAATTTCTTTGAAAAAAATAATTAAAACTCCTTTATTTGTTTAATTACGAATCACAAGTGTACATTGTGTTACCTACGTGAATAAATGATTTTTGAATTGAATTTGAATTGAATTGAAAAGGTAAATGTCATTATGGTCATTCAAAATTCTTGGCATAGCTGCTAACTTCACGCATATTCTATTTCTTTTTACTTGTAGATTGTCTTATTGCCATCTCGCTCGCGCACGCTATAATCACACTGATAATTTTGTGTCACGGTGCGCGCGCATCGTAAAATTTCACTCTCATCAATTTTTCATAACGCGCCTAAAGAAGTATAACTTCAAAAATATAAAATCTGCTATTTTTTATTAATGAGTCGTCTTAAATCTGTCATCAAAAGTTCTTGAATATGATGTAATTACAGGATCTTCAGTCATAAAGTCATAATAGTCTGTTGTGCAAAGATTTTAGTTTTTGTTTTTAACTACAGGTCAACAGTAAATTTTTAAATATTTATTTATTCTGACTTAATAATAATATATGCTGACTTTAAGTTATTTCTTTGTCGATGTTAAAACCTAACTCGCAATGTTATTAGCTACTTACTACTACTAGCGAAGTAATATTGTTGAACATTCTATTTAACATCTACAAAATATAGATAATAATTTCAAGAAAATATATTATTATAAAATTAACTTACTTGGTAGAATAAATCTACAGGGATGTTTATTACAAGGCTCAGGCACAGAACAATTTTTAACAATCATAATTTTTTCCTCAATTGCTTCATATTGAATTTCTGGCATATCTAAGTTATTAACCTGCAAAATTTATATCTTTTTAGTAATTGTTTAGGCAACAATTATCACCTGTGTCTAATTTCTTACTACTTATTGAACTCTCGCTACAGATAATCTTCCTGTGTATTCAACACTAAGGTATAAACCCAAAATATATAAATAGGATATATCAACTTACGCCTATATATATAAATTCACATAATCTATTGATATCTTCATAGTTTATAAGCCATACATATTGTATATGTATATTTATATACTTCTTGCCTAAATCCATAGCCACTATTTATATGTAAGAAATATATTAACATAAATTTGAATAACTTTCAAATTTTGTTTATTTTAATGACAGCCTAATATTACGATATAAACATTGTGATACAATTCCGCTGTGACTTAATATTACTCTTGAAATACTTACATCAATTAAATCTTCACAAAAAACCATTTCATTGTTGTTTTCATGTTTGCCCTCAAGTGGTATTTGAGCTGCTAGGGTATAAAATTTTGGATAACATTGAAGTTCACTAGCATTTAATTTAAAATATGCTTCATAAACTAACTCCACTGGTGGCTTGGGTCGTAATGCTCTAACACAATGTTCCGTGGTCCATAGGTTTTTAGCCCAGGCTATAAATTCTTTCTGTTCTTGTTCATAGAGTGGTTTTAATTCCTGTATAAATGTCACAATTTTTTTAATCTTAATTTTTTAAACAACTCAAAAAAATTCAATTAAGGTTTACCCAAAATTATCCTTAGTTTAACGTCAAGATTTCTTATGTTATTTGCCATAATATAACATCGAAATAATGGGTTTTTGTATACATAAAACATAGTAACATAATAATTTGAATAGGCAAGATATTTTTCTAATATATAACCGTTTTGAGACTAGAGTAATTTATAATATTGTCACACTTAAAATTAACTTCACTCACTGTTTAGTGCCTTACCTCCACAGATAATGTAAAGCACTTTATATAAATAATGTTATTATAAACTTATATCCAATAAATAAAATTATAAGTCGAACAGCAGAAACAACACGATTAAACAAGTACCAACCTCAAATAGTCTAAAATCTATCTTAGTAGGTCTCGGGAAACTTTTCTGGGGAAGAACATGTGAATGGTTTGCACAAATAACTTTGAGAAGTTGTGTTTGTTGATTGGGCTTGAGACTGGATAGTTTAGGATATTTTGGACATCCTCTAAATCCTGGCACAAAAATGTGGTTGTTCCTTTCATTCTATAAGCAAAAATATAATTTTAAGCACAACAAACAATCTACCAAATTTACTCAATCATTAAGGTTATTTGAGATTAGATAAATTGACAGCTACCTTTACAAGACTTAGAGGCAATTCTTTCAATCCAATTCAAACCTTAAGTTAGGTTACAATTGTATGCATTATCATCTATTTATTATTTTTTAAGTAACATATACCAACTATATAACTCATTGAAAGTCTTGTTTTCTATGTGAAAGGATTTTTAAAAAGTTCAGTGAATTTTGAGTTTATTGATGACTAACCATACAAGTTATATTATTCATATTAATAATAGTTTATAATTTTAATGGTAAAAGCAAATAAGGAACTAGTTAAATAGTTTAAAATAATTACATATTTCTTTTTACTGAATATTTCATCCCAGTTGATAACTTCTTGCTCTTCATCCTCACTGCTGGATATTAGAGGATCATGAAAGTTATTTTGAAGAATTTTCTCGGTAACACTATTTTGCAATGCCTCAGAAGTAAGGAAATATTTATCTGTCTCCGGCTGAAAATTTGTCCTACAACAATGTATGTATAATTTAAATATGGGGGTTTGTGTACTTAAGTTTATTTTGACGATAGTTTACTTTAAATTTAAGTAAAGTACTGATTAGATACAGGGTTTTAACTACAAACCAATCGAATTGCAATATTTGTTCCATGATGATAACATGTGCTATGAAATGAGCATTTTAGTCGTTATTTTCAAGAAGTAACCTCGCATACAGCCACCAGATACTAAAATAAATTACGGTTATTCTTGTTGTAAGGAATAAACATTTAGATCACTTTTCAAATCATAAGCACAGTAAGTACTAAGTAGAATCTCTAAATTGGAGATAGAAAAAACAAATCCAAATTCTAAACACAATACACAATACTTGTTATTAAATAATTAATTTTCTCCAGCTGCCGAATAGTGAATACAGAGTACTGACAGTATTCTGTCAAGAATCAAGATAGCTGACAAATAACAGTGACACTAGTTAACAGTTTACAGACTAAATCTATGTGACAGGATAGATACAAAGATACATTTATACATCTCTAAATCTGTACTTACACTGAACTTTTTATTTAAGATTATGTTACTATAGCGTAAATTAGATTAAAACTTGCATATGTATAAAATAAAGAGCGTAAGAATAATACGTCGAAACAACGTGAATAATTTTATCAAGGAAGGAAGCTTCTGCTCTTCCTTGGACCTAAAGAGGGGATTCTCGAGCAGTCGAGCCACTAACTGTCCCGGCATACTCTAAGTCTAGCGAGAGCGTACTCTCGCTACATGATACTAGCGGACAATAGGATACTTAAAGATGAAGGTGCTGGCTGGCTGTGACTAGCCCCTGTTTATTGATGCTGAGAGAAGGACTGATATACAGTTATTTCCCGGTATACTTCTGCGGAGTCACAAATATGGAGGAAGGGTGATGTCCTGCTTTTCGAGTTAAAGAGAGGATCCTACTGACTGACAAGCCACTCTGAAGGCCCCAGTAGATAAGGTCAAGAAGTTGTATATTTCCATAGCGGTTGGAATAAGCGAGTTTCAGGATTTCAGGACGTTAGTGTGATTATTGTAGCCGTAGATTGTAGCTTTCGCTACAATATGATATATAATAAAAATGTTTAAGCTTAAGCGTTGTAGTAGAGTGGGCTATTTGACATTATAAGTTACGGAGTAAAATAACTGGTATAAAAAAAATCATTAATTTATCATAAAATAAATTAATTAAAAATATTAGTTCTTATACGTCCGTTACTTGACACAAAACGGTCACAGATTAGTCGACGACGACCATTCCACTAAATCATGTATTCGTCTGTCTCATAACACTATCTTGGAGTTTAATTTCGTCGGAGACCGTTTTTCATCGAAAATATTATATGTGTATTTATGTAATTTAATAATGACAATGACACGGTAATGATAATAAAACCTTTACGTTTGTTTACGTGTTTACTAGTATGGTACGTTGTGCGAAGCCATTTTTCCTAGATCAGCGTTATGGCGGGTTCTTGAAATTATGAATGTTTGAATTAAATTTTTAAAGAGAATTAACTACATATTTGTTTAGATTCCATAGTTACTAATGAATCTAATATGATTTTAAAAATCTTTTCATATAGTCTATCACTGTTAAAACCTATCGCATACTTATTCCTACAACAAAGGCAGAAAAAAAATGGACGTTTAACATAGCATCCAAAATCGGCACAAACCTATAACAATTAACAATAATAATCAATCTATATTTTAGGATTTTGAACTAATATAAATTAAAGTAGCGGAGACTTATTATTAAAATTTAACATAAAATAAACATTCATGTATTGTAGCTTTAGTAGTATCTACAGTAATTTTATCAATAAATATTAATAACTTCAATTATGTAATAATCATATTATCTAAGTACTTTTTCGCCTAATATATGCTACATTCCTTTTGCGTATTATTCGTTTACAGCTAAATTATACAAGGAATAAGATTCAAAGTAATAAGAGCATAAGCCAGAGAGCATAAATCAGATGCCATTAACGAATTTGGCTAATTCAGTAACATCGGGAGCAGGCGCCGAGCCAAATGCTCAGCTTTTTGGTGACATTAGGTACCCGTGCCCACGTCTGAGTGGCAAAAACAAACAATCTTGACTATGCTTTTGATATAAAAGCATTCAGATGATTGCAATAATATAGGGTTTTGTAAAATAGTTTTAGGCTATTAATTCTGAACTATACGAAACATCAAAGAAAGGTGTAATTTTGCTAAAAACCTACATTACTGAACCTGACCAATTTATTTTTTGTGATCGGTTATACAATTTATGTGTTTTAGATTTAATATCTGGCGCTACAACCTTCGAGGTCTTCTGGGCCTTAGATTTCTGTATCTGTTTCGTGGACATGTGTTTAACCAATAGGCAAATAGGATCAGCCTTCTGTGCCTGACACACGCCGCCGGCTATTTTGATCTAAAGCATTACGGTTTCCGTACAATGTTTTCTTTCACCGTACGAGTAAGAGTTAAATGCAAACATAGACAAAAAGTCTATTGGTACTTAGCCGGGTTTAAAACCTACGACCACAGGGATGGGAATCGCACGCTGATGCCAGTAAGCCAACTATGCCCATTCTATATACATTACCGAACTCTACTTTCCTCCTAGTAATTATGCTCAATTCGGAAAAAGATTTTTCTTATCTATCCAAACTTATTCTATGTAACTGTCCATTTCTAACAAATCGGTAAAAATAAATTTATATCAAATAATAGAACTTTTTAATCCGCCATTTTTTTCGACTGTAGTTAATTGATTCATCACGTAGCCTACAGCAAAAAAATACTTCAAAAAGCCGTCTATCTTAAAATTTAACGAGGAATCGAGTTAAGAACAGTTTAATTAGTCGTACATCTAATCCTTTAACCATAATCGATAATATTTCACTGTTTTGATTATTAATGTCAAAACCTAACCTCTTCTTATCTCGGTCCTACTATGCTCCACATGGCGGGGTGACTTTCTCCTGAAAATATAAATTTCAAGCCACTTATCAAGAAGTAGGTCAATTTGTGCATTTAGATATGAAAGGAACTATTTCCAGGTGTAATAACCAAAATTGAAAAAGACCTTATATCCTCAATGAAACGTCTAAAATTTGAATGTAAACAAAATGAAATCGTTATGACTGGGAGAAATACTGGGATGTATTGATCCCCTAAAAAGTGGGACGCCGTGATTTTTTTCGGTCCCTAACTCATCAGATTTGGGGTTCTGATCTCAAAAATTTTATAGGGGCCACTTCATACAATGTTTATTTTTGTAAAAGACTTTTACTTAATTTCAGATGTTAATTTGTCTTAGAAGAGTTTTAATTTCATAAAAAGATTTATTTTTGTTTTCTAATGGTAGTTTGTCAAACTTGCTAACATATAGTACCTATTATAGTTATAAGTAAAAATGAATAAAAGGCTGATTGTTATCTAATGAGGATGATTAGAGTAAAATAAAGAGATTTTTATGATTAATTGTATATTTTTGGTTTTATTAGTAATTTGAAATTTTTATATAAAAATTGGTTTGGAGCATAGTTACAGTTTTAAGCTTCTTATTATGCTCCAAGTTCTAAAACAACCGAATTACAGTACAAATAAAATTTAGGAGCAAAGTTACCCAACTTGACGGGTAACATTGCTCCTTAATCATTGTTTTATATATATAATAAAACGCTACAAAATGGTAGTTTCATCACTTAGATTCTGTAGCCAAGGTGTTAAATTTACAATCTAAATTTAAATAGCAATTTTAAATGAAAACGTTTCCACGCAATTTTGATAAGTCAAGTTCGAGCAGATTTTGGAGCAAAGTAGGACCAAGTTACGGTACTTTATATATTGTAAAAATGTATACTTAAAATCTCAATAATTCTATCATTGCAAAAACTTTTACCGGTATTGAGGATTGAGCGGGAGACTCAACCCCATCAGCGAACTTTATTATAAGAATATTAACACTCGCCTATTGTCCGCTACTACGGTGAAGGAAACCATACCAAGAAAAGAGTCTTTTAGACTTAAATATCGACATCGTGCCGCCGCAGTCTGAACTTTTATTTTCAATTCGACTTAGGGTCCTTCAAAAAAAGAGCGTACCAATTCATAAAATGCCGGCAACGCACTTGCGCGTCTTCTGGCAATACGCCGTATACGTTTACGCCTTTTTATGCCCCGTTTAATTTTTTATGTAAAAAATATCAAGAAACAATCAAGTCTTCATAATAGGAGAACAAGGACGGAAATTGTTTCGTTAACTCGTTTATGTTAAGCGTCAAAGAAGTTAATATCTGCACAAACTAGCATAGTGTCTCTAGTACTCTTTAAAATTTGAAGTGGCATTCAAATTTTTTAGAAAATATCAAAGTTAAACTCTTACTGTTTCTAAAATGTTCGAAGTAAAAGAAGTAGAAAGGTTTACAACTCATTCTACAAAACATGGGCTTAACGGAAACCTTACGAAATTAAATAAATCTATGTCAAAATAATTTAGAAGGAAGCATTGTAGGTGTGAAAAGACAAGTTTCAATACGGTAAAAGTAAAACTCAATTTAAGGATACAAAAACAGCATGTATATGGCAATGGGCGGGATGTGGAAAGAGAAGAAAGGGAAAGATGGTCAAATAAGGTAACAGCATTTTGTACCCTAGAGATGGAAAGAAAAGCAAGGGAAGACATAAGTAGGGTAGCTGGGGCGGCTGGCGAAGGACAGATCTACATGGCAACATTTGGAACCGGCATTTGTCGAGAGACAAACTGAACTGATATTACCAATATTAGTAAATTGTTTTAAATTATAAATGTTTTATTTTGTCCTAAAGGTTGATTAGATATATGTCATGTGACGAATGAAAACGTATTTTCATGAGTCCAATATTAACGATATTTAACGTAAAAATAATATTATTTATTTGTTGAATTTAAAAATATACTTTATACTGTGTTTAAGATGATATTTTGTGTAGTTATCGATTTCTATATATACAAAATACCTATTGTTCTCCTGGCAGTGGGAGATAATAGTTTTGGGAGCAATTTCACGTTGTAAGACAAAATAGCGATCTGTCTCGAGTCCAATTACTTGCTAGTGTTCTAGACTGATGTCTATA